TTACGATCTTAACTCCTATGCATATAATTTAGCCTAAACTTGTCTTATCGCTCATTGTGTTTTCTTTTGTCGTTCAAAATCAATACAAAGATATAATTATTGTGGTTTCTAAAATTAAGCATGCAAACTCCCTAAGTTAATCATCATTGCATGTATGTTTTACATCACTAGAAGCTTCCAAGTCCCCTAGATCATGTTAAAATTGATTCAGAAAACTTTTCAAAGCTTTAGGAATTAGTCTCTTCTTTCCATGAGTCCAAAACATTCATGGAAGAATGGGGAATTTCCTTTCTCATGCACATCTCCTTTCAAACTTGATGCTTAGAACTTCCTCAAAGTTCTAAGCTCTATGTCGTATGAGTTCCAACAAGTATAAAGAGCTTTCTTTCAAATGCTCTTTTCCCCTCAAGTGTAATCTTTTGGAGCTTTCTTAAAGCTCTAAATATTTCATTACACATATCACTAAGACTTTAGGACCAAATCCTAAATCATCCACCACTGGCTTGTTGAGACAAAGTCAACAAACAAACATCACTTCTCCCTTCATGTGTAGTAACTTGAAGCCTTTTTTTTTTAATTTCTACTATTATCGCATGAGACCCTTCAACTTAGAAACAGTTTCTAAGTTCTTTCTTTTCATTTGTTTGAACACTAAGTTAATAAATGAATATTTCATTTGGACTTGGGATCCAAATCCTAGTCTCCCGTATCCTCTCACTTAACCTAAACTAAGTGAATGAAGAAGTCCATTTGAACACCAAATGTTCAAGTGATCTCTTTCAATCTTGCAACATCTAGGTTGCATTTCATCTTTCTCATTTTATAATCCAAAAGTTGTAGGAGACCAACTCATTCTCCTAAGACTCAAAGCTAGGAGAACATGTACCTCTCTTTGATCTCTTTGAACATCACATGTTCAAAGGAACCTCTCCAAACTTAGGGCCAAATCCTGAGTTTACTCTTCATTTGTTAAGATATAAAATTAGCAAAATAACAATCTTTCCTCTTACATGATACCTTGGAATTCTGTAGAAGTCCTATATATGTCATGCCATAAATCCTTGAGCTCAGAAAAAATTCTAAGCTCTCCAATCTTGTTTGTCAAAACACTAAACCAACAAATATCCCTCCTCTTTGCACGATAGCTTGAAGTCTTCCAAAACTTTGACAATATCGTTGCATAAGATTCTTGAACTGGGAGCCCTATTCCAAGTTCTCTCACTTTATTTGTTTGACTACAAAGTTAACAAATAAACATTTTGTTTAAGCTTAGGACTCAAATCCTAGTTTCCTTCCTATATTCACTTAACCTAAATTAAGTGAATGATGAGCCCGCTTTGAAATCCTAAAATTCAAATGATTTCTCTTTGAGTTGTAACCCCTAAATTGCATCTTCTTTTCTCCTTCTACAACTCAAAAAATTGTAGAAAGTCCACTCATTCCACTAACCCAAATTAGATGGATGAACAACTCATTCTTTGAACACCAAATGCTCAAAGAAGTTTTTTAAAATTGTAGAAAAACCTTCAAATTCTACTTCATTTGCTTAGCCCAAAATCAGACAAATGAGTAGTCCTCTTTGAATATCAAATGTTCAAAGAGTTTCTCCCAATGTGCAACTCTCAGTTGCATTTTGTCTTTTCATTTCTCATAAGCCAAACTTGTAGGCAACCGCCAAAATTTCCTTCGTTTACTTTAACTTAAACTAAGCAAATGAAACCCCAACTCCTTGAATACAAAAATTCAAGGAGGTACCTTTTTGATTTGTAGTCTCAAAGTTATAAATCCTCCTTCACTTCTATAAGCTCCAAAAGCCTTAGAAAATTCCTTACCTTAGCTCAAAAGCTGTAGGTTTCTTCTCTTTCTCCTCTAACCCCAAAATTGTAGGAGATTTTCCCTCTCTTTAGTCACAAAAGTTAAAGGGAGTTCTCTAACACTTAGCCCAAAACTACATGTTAGATTCCTACATTCTCTCTAGCTCCAAAAGTTAAGAAGAATTCTTCCAGCACTTAGCTCAAAAGCTATATGTTGAACATCTTTCCCTTAGACCTAAATCCTAAGTGAAACACTCTTAGTGTGACATACCACACAAGCCTCACACATTTAGGTGCACAGCCCTTTAGGCATGCTAGAACTAGAATTTTTCTTTGTGTGTGCATGTGATTGATGATTTGATGTGATTGCATATTGGGTTGTCTGCATTGTGAGCACTTGCCCTTAAGTGGTTAGTGTAGAAATATATATGTTTTTCGTGCAGGTGGTCACATCTAAAAGGGGGGGCTCATAAATAATATAAATGCTTACATGACATGTACCGCTTGCCCCCACCCCCCAAGTGATGTGGCCAATAGGGTAGAAGCAGATGCTTGATACTCTAAGTGCTAGGCAAATTTTGGATGTGATGTGATTATCATACAAACTATCTTTTAACTCTATTTTACAGACTTGAGTCTTTTAAATTTTCTATCATATATTTGATTAGATCTAGGATGTAAAATTTGCGAGATTTGGATTAGAAAAAAAGGTGGATCAAGGAAAGATGTACCCCTTTGGAGGTAAAGCTCAAAGATCCATTTGAAAGTTAAAGCTTGAAGACCCTCATAAGTAGAGTCAATAAATTTAACTAGGTTGTATAATGGTAGGCAACTCAGGTGCCAAATCTGATTGTAATAACTCGGACTCTATTTACATTCATTGCATTTGATTTATATACATAAGCATGTGTCGATTGTTTACTGAGTGTGCAATAGAACAACATGTTTTTTCTAGGTTTTTTTCTCTTGTTTGTTTGGGTGTGGCCTGAACTTGCGATACGATAGGCTCTTAGGATAAAATAAATTTTCTACGTTTTAAAATGTAAGTAATTTAAAATCAAATCTAGGCTTTATGTTTTTCAAATAAAAAAAATCTTACATGGCTCCCTTTAAAGGAGCCAAGTTTTCACAAAACTTAAAATGATCATGCATAGCCCAAATGTGTCTCATATAGAAAGTTTTCACTTAAAAACTAGATAACAAAAAATCTATTTTCTTCATGAGTCAGCATATGCATACCATCATACACATGCATCTTGGCCTCAAAGCCAAGTTGTAAGTCTTACCTTTTTAAACAAGATAGCCTCTATACTCCACATTTGCATTAAAACCGGACAACATGGTTTTAAAATTGATTAGGTGGGTTTAGCTGGTAGACCTTTTCAGGCAGGGTAATAAATCCAAAAGTCGGGCTGACTATGCCTCATGTGAAGCATAGCTTATAAATCCCTTTTGCACTTTTTTAGATTTAGATTCAATTTACTACCCCTCAGTAGTCATCGCCTTAGTTTTAGAATCCGAGGAAAATGGTTGATTTCAATCACCATATAAGTCCTCACCTTTCGAGCAATTCCTCCAACATGTGTTGTTGGAATATAAACCCCAAACTTCTAATAAAAATATCAACTTAAACAAAAATTAGATTTCTAAAATGTAAAGCTCCAACATAGGATAATTTGAGTACCTCTGAGTTCCCCTCATAATCAAGTACTCCTACACCTCTTTCCCTTGGCCCTCATTCCAAGAAATATGATTCTAAGTTGATCCTTTCAACCCTTGAAATTCCTAAAGGCCAAAACCTTTAAATAAGACTTTCATGGATTAAAAAAAAAAAATCAACTTTAAGCAATATTCAAATGACTTCAAAAGAAAGAAAACTACTAGTTTAATCAAAAGTTTTCTCAAGCACTAAAGCTTGAGATGTAATTAATCATTAAGGGCTAGCTCCTATGGAACGTCTGTACCCCAAAAATAAATAAACCCCATTCAACCAAACATCGAATAGGGGAATCTCTGTTAAATTGTAAAGTTTATTATTGAGTCCATAAAGAAATGATATTTTTACCCTTCGAGTAATATATCATCATTCTTATGCTGTACTCAATCATAAGGTAGGCAATCCGTTTGACTACAAAAATTCTCCAACACATATAGGCAGTGTGAACCAAGGACCAGTGCAACAATTGAGAACACATTCACCCAAATAGAAAAGCACCATTTATTTTTTTTAATGAAAAGCTAGATGAACCCTTCTCATTGAATGAAAACAAAGATTATAAAACAATTACAAAGAAGCAGAAAAAAACACAAAAAGAAACTGAAAGAAAATAATTTAGCAGTACATAAAAACTCTTGAGGACCGGAAGAAAAATGACTTCCCTTGCTTTCATATACTTGTTGATTTTGAAAAATTTCTTATCATTTATGTTATTGAACCAGAAGTAAAATTAAAAACGCTGATCCAGATAAACTTCTAATATTTCTATTTATCAGAAAATCATCTTGCATTTCTTTCATTCCAGGTGACAAAAAAGGAAAAGAAGAAAATGTTCCAAAATTCAATCCATCTCCTAATTGTGCATCTTCTGAGAATTGTAGCATGTGCCTAAGCATCCCATCAATTTTCTATTATCAATAATATTTCTCATCCTATATTTCCTAGCTTTACCACGCATATTAATATTATCATTTCTATCACACTCAATTTCATGATTGGTTGCCCCTTTAATGCCCAACCCTCCAAAATGATATCCTAAATTCCTATACACAATTCTAAGCTCTAGGCAACTAAATAATGATTGTTGATGAATCCAACAGCCATTTATAGAGTTCTAAAAGCAGTCTCATGAGGTCCTCCATATGACTAAAATGCAACACACACAAAAAATGTAGGACTTCAGACTTCTAAATAAGGACGGATGTCTACACATGTAAATAAACAAATGATGACAGATGAATAAAAAAACAAAGTTTTTTGCATTTTACTACAACACTATTAATGGAAACTAAGATATATATGTCAAAACACTTTTAACCTTCTGATTCAACAAGGTCTCTACAATTTAAAAACTAAAAACATACCTTCAAGAACAAAAGAAAAAATCAAAAGTAATAAACAAGAGAAGAAATTTTATAGTAACGAAGCTGTGTATGAGGGAAGAAAGAGCATAAATGGTGTATTCATACCCAGTGCTTTGTACAACTTGGCCAAGTGTAACCAGAGCTACTTCCCTTTTATTAAATGAAGCACCATCCAATAGAGCTTCAACAATTAAAGGCATTAACTCGCCTAGGTACTTCCTCATTGCAAAGCCGCCCTAAGCAAATAAACCAAAACTGACAGTTAATTTTCTTCAAAAAAAAAAAAATAATCCAATGATATAAAAGTGATAGGTGCAAACACATGGATGCAGGAAAAAAAATTGTTGCATTTTCTAGAAACCGCCAAGATTTCAACATTTAATACATTGAATACATATATGTGCATATGAAAACAATCAAGATTTTAAACTGAGGGAAGGATCTGCAAATTTTTCCTTCAAAGAACTACCAGTACATGGAATTGCAAATATGAAAATGATGATGATTAGGCAATAACTATATCACAAGTTTAACATCACCATCATGTCATGGAATTGGAATCTTGACAAAACAAAATGCTTTACTGTCTTTTATCACTCTCAACCAAAGCTAGCCAATAACATTAGTAATGGAGAGAAAAGCTGGACTAGGGAATTGTATTCAATTAATGGTACTCGTAAAAAGCAAAACTACCAATACCAATATGAATTGGTAACCTTGCCAGAAATCTTCAACAATAGCTAGCCAAAAACACAAGTAATGAGGAGGAAATACTGTCAACGGGAATTTTGTTAAAATCAAGGTACATTCAAGAAGCCAAACTACCGATATAGAAGTATTTGAATGAATATAAAAAGCATAAAGAAAATTTCAAAGAATAAAATTACTTTAAGATGATCCAAAAAAATTATGAATTCCTAGTTCTTTGTAGAATGTGGCTCTGAGTGTTTAAGATTATTGGTTACAAAAATGTATCAACGTGCTAGTCATTTTAGTCTAACGACAAAATCAATGATAGTTGTCATAAATTGCTAGTTATTTCCAATGAAACCGTAAGTCTTAGTTTTTATCTTATGTGTTATAACACCTTGTGAAAGATTTAATTATAATATTTTGTGAGTAAAATGATCGCATGCATATAATATGGAAAATATTTTAGACTTTTTTCCCTAAATGTAGTTATATAATCCAAGGAGAATGCTAAACATTGAATGTATCTACATCCAAAAGTGACACAAATTTGTCTTTTATCAAGTAAAATACCCCCACATGAGAAATGCAGGCCCCAAAAAAAGACAAAAGTATAAACACCTAATGTTATGAGAACTAACAAAACAATAAAAATTAAAAAAAAAATTAAAAAAAATTAAAAAAAAAAACTAACAAAACAATAATACAAATTCCCATTTAATCAAGAACCGAATTAAGAAAACCAAGATTTCAATTGCCTCTATAGGTTTCCTTCAATGAAAGACAAAAGAGAGTTCCATTACTGAAAGAGTCAAAGAAACTACAGCGCATTTTTAGCAATCCATATGAGATTCCAAAGCCCAACTAATGGGCAGATTTTGCATAAGAATCTCAAACAATGACACTATCACATGGATTGCAGGTTAAAGTTATTCCCTTTCGTACTCTCATAAGGACATCTATAGAAATATTCTTAATACTTTACACACACATATATATGTGCGTGTATTTTACCCTGATAGAAATTGACAAAAACCCGTGGTTTAATTAGTTACCTTTCATGAAGGAATTACTTAATATACTTATATACCAATAGGATATTGATATATAAATATCCGTGTAGGCTTCTCAGTTTTATGCACAAAAATTCAAATCATCTGTTCATCACAACATGCTATCAAAGCACTAAGAAAAGAAAATCTAAGGAATCTTCCTCCTAGTTTCTCTAAAACTGGTTTTTGTTGTCCTCACCAATCACTTTTTTCAATTTGGACTAGGAAACCAATACCCGTTGTCTTCACTTGCTAGAAAGGTCGTTGTTTGCTGTAGGAAACCGCAACCAAAGGAAGGCCCTCTTCCCTTAATGTGGACCCATCCGCACCCAGCAATTAATCCACCGCAACCTCACCATCAATAATAAGAGGGGAGAAAAAAATAAATCTAGATAGAATATATTCTATATCAAAAGCTATTGACCAAAAAAAAAGGGTTTAGATTAAACCAAACTCTCAAACATTAGTGGTTGAGAACCGATGTAGAACATACATGCAAGGATGATTTAGATTAAGGAATTTGCATGCTTAATTTAAAAAACCACAATAATTATATCTTTATATTAATTATAAGCGACTAAATAAAACACAAGAGCCGCAAGACAAGCTTAAGCTAAATTACATGCATAGGAGTTAAGATCATAAAACAGTCAATTTAATTTAACGTTGCAAACATGATTGGTTTTCAACAATAAATCTCAATGCTAACAATAAGATTAGTACTATACTACTATGAATGATCCATTTCTAACTCAACTCCCTAAGTTACTGTTGACCCCAATACTAGTGTCAAAATCGCGTCAACCGCGCAAGGTGAATTTCGAAAGCAAAAGAGCGCGAAATCGCGCATAATTCACCCGACGTGTGTCGACCCAAAACCTAAAATTGCTGAGATGACCTTCGTTCGCGAAACGGACAGCGCCAATGCGTCCGGAGCAACGGAAACAGCTAAGATCGACACCCATATTGATGGGGGCCGTCGGTTGGCGAAAATTTAAATTTTGGGCACGCGAATCGAGGCGACGACATGTGCGAGCGGCGACGCAGCGAAAAAACTCGATGCTAGATTAAAAAAAAATATTTTTTATTGTGCAATTTAATTAAAAAAATTTTAGAAAAAAGAGAGAGAAATGGAGCTTCTTAAATAAGAAAGTGATTTTTCTAAATAAAAAAATCAAAAAAATCCCTAAAATACCCCTCAATTAAACCCTCACACTCTCATATCCCCCAAACCGATCCCCACTCTCCCTCTCATGCCATTCTCACGCTCCAACCCGTCGCCCCCTTCGCTCTCACGCCGCAAGAAGCCGCCGGCCTCTCTTCCCTCCTCCAAGCAAGGTAAAATCTCTCCTTTCTCTTCTTCTTCTTCTTCTTCCTTCCCTCTTCTTCCCCTTCCCTATTTTTCATCTTTCCTCATCTTCCCTCCAAGTTTCCCACCATTTTCTTCTATTTTCTTCCTCTACTCCCTTCTCCTTCCTCTCCTTCATCTTCTACTTCCTCCTCCAACCTCTCTTTCTTATAACCTACAAAACCCTAAACCCTAATTTTTTTTCTCACTTCCACTCACCAAACCACCTACATCCCTTTACAAAAAATGCTCCTACACCCTTCCAAAAAAAAATCCATCCTTCATTTTCTCTCTAACCTAGAGAGAGAAAATTTTCTCTCTCTAGAATGAGAGTAAAATTCCTTCATGTACGGCTCTATTTCCATCCTAAGCACCTCCCCTTTCCACCATACCTCCAAATACCTTGCCTAGAGAGAAATAAATTTCCCTCCTCTCTTTCTCTCTCCAAAAATGAAAGAGAGAGAGAGATTTTTCTCTCTCTAACCCCACTCCCCTAATCTCCTACACACTCTAAGCCCACTCCACCAAAAAAACCCATAAAATCCTTTCTTTCCCTCTCTAGAAAGAGAGCTCTCTTCATTTCTTTCTCTCTCTACATTTTATTTTAAATAAAAGAAAAGCATAAATGATTAATCAAATTGCACAAATATTTAAAAAAAATTAAATTAAATTGTGCATCGCAGGTCTCCCACCGTCGCCGCCATCCGTCGTCGCCACCTCGATTACTGCGCACCCAAGATAAAAACTAGTATTTTACTTTTCTGTGCATGAAATAAGTACTCGTGACCGCTTTTTTTAGCGGGCGAGGAAATTTAAGTACCCGTAACGCACTGAGCGAGCGAGGAATTCGTATGCATGAAACTTAAGTACTCGTGACTGCTTTTTTTAGCAGGCGGGAAAATTTGTTATTCGTAGAAAAATTATTTAATTAAGTACCCGTCACTGTTTTTAGGCGGGATAAATGTTATACTTTAAATATGTGCTCAAAGATCCCGTGACCGCTTTTTTTAGCGAGCGGGGTTTGAAACTGCAGCTGCGGTGTCACCCGACACCTTCCGTGACTGCCTTTCTTGGCAGGCGGGAAGGTCTTACACACTCCGATGCAGCCCCGTACGCGGGAACGACGCCGGAGTGCTGCCAAAATTTTCAGCAAAACCTATAACTTAGAAAATTTAAAAGAGATTTAAAATCCACTTAAAAGTTTTAAGTTAACAAAAAATAAAACATACGACACCCTAGGCTCCCGACATTGTAAAACAAATACAAAAGAAATATAAATCATTGTGAAATGCAACATACAGTGAGTCTTCAAGGGAATTAGTTGTTCGCCAATAGGTAGGAATCAAGCCCCTTCCTCCTAACTCTTGACTTGCACACCTAGGTCCCTCACCAAAAGCTCCTTACAGAAATAGGATGGGAAGAAATGAGTTGAAACCCTCTCCTATTTATAACATTGAGTTTGAATTATTCGCGGGCCCCACTAGCCTAGGATCCCATTGCTACAAGACAGGGAAGGTACACCTGTGGGCCCCACCAGCCTAGGATCCTTTGCTAAAGGACGGAAAAGGTACACCTGCAGGCCCCATCCACTTAGGATCCTAAGATGCCATTTCGAGGCTCTGGCATCGGATTCCTAGAGTATTCACTAGCAAGTGAAATACGTATGTAAATACGAAATTAAATACGAGTTTAGATACAAATGAATACGGCTGGTAATTATCTTAAAAGAAAGGGGGGTGGTAAAAGTAAAAGTAAAAAGAAAATTTACCTTTCCTACAAAATACTTTTCTGTTCATTATAAACACGTAGGAATTCTCGCACATCCCCGGTAATTTTCTGATTCAACCCCTTGTAATAAAATGTGCCCTTCGTATTGCAAGTCACGGGCGCTCTAAGTGGTGTGCGCACCAGCTGTTAAAGTTAAGCAGCTCATACAGCCCGTGATCATATGTCTTCAAAAAGAAACAAAATAACGCATTTTTATGCGTCACGGGCTGTACGACCCCTAATTAAAGTAGGCATATCACCACTGGAAAGTAAGTCGCCTACGAGCAAGGCAGGAGATTAGTTAGTGCACTACAATCTATTTGTACCAATCATTGCAAGTAGTGCACGACAGTCTACCTGTGTAAAGCAGCAAACAATTCAATCCATAAGCTGCTGCAATCCGCCACCGGATCTGCAACACAAATACAAGCAGACAAAAGGCGTCTACAAGTTGCAATGCCCCGCCACCGGATCTGCAACACTCGTACAAGTAGACAGAAGACGTACATAATCTCTCAAATGAAATATTTTGTGCATTCAAATTACAATTACTTGCACAACTAAAATATTTTGAAATCCCCCTGCACCTACATTGTAGCTTGTATACACATAGGTACACTAAAGGGGGAAATATAATCTCAACCGGCATGGGCCCCGGTGAGCGTGTTATTGGTACACACGTGACGCCTATGGATGCTGCGCGGGTCAACAAGTGAATTCAAGTTCTAACATGATCCTTCTATGCAGATCCATAGGAGTGGACAGGGTTCAAACCTTCAAACAAATACACATGGTTGTGGGGACCGGTGTATTTATTTTAATACATTCATATTAGGCCTTTAAGGCCTATAATCAGTAGAATTCACTCATAAAGACATAAAGCTTACGAAACCCGATCCTCTGTCGACATCCAGACAGAGTTGACAAGGTTCAAATTATAAATGAAAACGCCCCCAAATACTCCGATGAAGGCCGTGTTGAATGTGAATCTCAACCGGAGGGGTTAATCTCTCATAATATATTTCAAAATGTCTTAAAATTTCGACAAAATCCAAATTCCATAAAATTAAAAAAAAAAAATATCAAGCTCTAATTTGAAACCAATCATCAAAACACTTAAAGCAAAATCCATCCACCCTCCGCACTAGTTTGTCGGGGTGGACAAATCAAAATTTACTTCAGCTCACAAAAGAGCTAAATGCCTGGTCGAAAATATCACTAGGATCCATTCTCAACCAATCTCCTGCCAATAAGGACGTGGTACGTGTCCTCTAACCGGCGGTTCGCCGCCAAATGGCACCGCAGGATAAACGGTTATGACCCGGGCCCTCTGAACCGAGTGGTTTTGCCGCCAAATGGCACCACGAAATACCGGTTATGGCCAGCGCCAATACGTCCATTATTGGCATCAAATCATTGAGATATGAATCAATAGGATATGATCGATAGGGCACAAAGCCCTCTGTTAGCTAAGGTGGATTCAAATTTGTCCCCTTAGGCAAATATCCATCCCAGGTCTACAAGGTCCCCTTGGACGAAGCAACCCATGGCTGCCGACAAGAATCCTTCTGTCAGGTTGGGTCGACTACCTCCTCTGACTAAGTAGACCAGGGACCACGATGGCCCGGGACGACGGAACCATGGGATCTCGATCGGGTCCATCATCCATTCCCCCACCATCCGCTTTAAGTGTTAGGTGGTGAAATTTTCTATTTTAAATATCAAACTTTTCAAACATTTCCAAATATCCAAGCTTCCAAATATTTCCAAACCCATACTTATTGCTGCTACTATATGACATATACATGTATTTTATACGTATCTTATTGACAACTAGCCTTAATCGAAAGTTCTCTCTTGTGATCGGGAGGGGTAATTAATTATAGGGGCTTGCGCCTATAGGAAACCAGAACTCAGATCATAAAGTCCTCGCAAAATGAGGGCGAAATCTCTGGGTAGTGTCTTATCTACAAACCCATCTGCCTTCCAAAATTTACCCCGGAACTTAATTCTGTTAAAAATGCCTCGCCGAAGAAAAAGAAAAGCGCGGCGAGAAGGCCGGGGCCGAATTTTCGGAGCCCACAATTATTATGCTTTAGCGGAAGGATCAACAAGACTCGTTCTGAATCAAACTATAACCATACTTGGAAGGTTAATTAAGAAGATATAAGAGTAGGAAGAAAAGTTACCAAGGGAATGACAAATAGGGCGCTCCGGCGTAGTCGCTTATGCGTTTGAGAAAGAGTAGACAGCAACTTCAGGTTTGGAAGCCTTCAGGATGGCGATGGGGAACCTTATGGACAGCAAGACAGCCATAGGAGGTCACCAAAAATGACAGGACAGCAGCTAGGGACGCCGAGACAGCAGCAATGAGGGTCGGGACAGCAATTCGGCACTTGAAATACTTCTTGACAGCAACCCGAACAGCTTCCTGAAAATCTGGGCAGCATGTTTCAGGTGCTGGAAACTCCAAACAGCAACCAGGAAAAGTATGGACAGCGATAGGGTGAGTTCCAGGGCTGGACAGCAGGTGTGGAAGTACGGGAATCTGCTGGGCAGCAGTTTAACAGAGTCCTGGGAAGGTCGGGCATCAGCTATGCACTACCGGATGCCTTGGACAATCATAAACGGTCTTTTGAAATCACCTGGAAGCAAGCTACTCTTGCTGGAATCACTGGCCAGCAAACAGAGATCACAGAAAGCAAGGGATAGGGGTGGTCAAGGTAAAGGGAGATGATACTTGGCTTTGGGTTCTTAGGGTTTGGATGGAGGGAAAAGAGAGAAATTAAAATCTGAAATTAGGGGAAATTCAGATTTCGAATTCCTAATCAAGGGAGAGATTTTGGGGAGAGTTTTAATAGCTTCCTAAATGAGTTATCTAATTTAGGAAAATAAATATTAAATCACATCTAATTTTAATTTAAATTTAAATTAGAATTAGATTTAAGAACTTTCCAAAACTAGAAAGGGTCATTAAAGAAAGTACTTGAAATTCAAATGTAGGATTAATTTCAAATAAACATACTTCCCAAAATTAATAAGAGTATTTTAGGAAAGTAATTAAGGGAGGTTTGAATTTTGAAATTCAAAATTCATGGGGTTTGGAAAGGATGGCCGGCAGCTAGATGGGCCAATGGGAGGTCGGTGGCTATAGGCTTGGATGGCCGGCCGATGACTAGGGGCCAAGGAGAGTAGGAGACAATGGTAGGGGTAAGGGGTTTCGGGTAAGGAAGAAATAAAGGGAAAGTTGGTGACGGGAAAAACAAGAGGTGGTTGGTGATATGGGAGAGAAAGAAAAAGAAATAAGAAGAAAATGGAAGTAAAGTAGAACTGAGAGCCCAAACCTTCTGGCAGTTGTCGGGTATTACGTTGGCTTTCTCTTAGGGTTCTCTCGTCTCGCCGAAGCACACAAGCAACAAGAGCAAAGAAAGGCTAAAATTTTTTTTATCATCATCATTAACCCAAAATACAAGAGAACTAGACTATAAATAGGCCTCATGAAAAGAAAAGAAACAATGACTAAAATGCCCTTCGGGCTACAACACCACATGACCACCCCTAGGGGTAAAATGGGAAAAACAGTAATATAAAATAAACCAGTGCATAAAACACAAATATACTTCAGATCCTAGCCGCTGATCCTGATGTCCTCATCAGAACCAAAACCTTCAACCTTCATTCAAATTGAAAAAAAGAACTTATTTTGACTGTTCCCATATTGTCAGAACTTTTTTAAGGGAGAAGGAAAGCTAAGACATCCTATTAGTCCCATATCGAGAGAGGATGATCTTAATTTTGTTGTCTAAGATGTTCAGGACTCCTTAATTATGTCATGGCTATGGCTACGGAATTCAATGACATCCAAAATATTGTTCCTAGCCACAATCAATATATATTTAATATACAATTCAGCATACATACTCAAAGGTTCATGGCATTACCAAGTCTATAAAATTAAGACAAAAAATCACACTATAAAGTTATACTTTCAATTATCGAGTATTCTACCAAAATAAAAATTTTGCGGATCAAATTTGATTACTATCAATGTCTTAAAAAGAGGTGTAGTGAACATGCCAATATGCTACTTATTTGTAAAAGGAGAGAGAATTTATGACCATTCTTGTTTAATAATTCAAATTGATTCTTGTTAAATATACATATAGAACATTCATTGGGTTTAATTTTTCAGATGATTGCTAGTTGGTAATAATTCTTTTTTGTTAATATTTTGATTAAAATGTCAATGATCATGTCATAATAATGATTTGTATCAAAGTTACTGAATATTATAATACAATAGAAGATTTCCTATGATCTTCGCACTTCAACTAATTGAAAAGTGTTTTATGTGTTTCAAATATCAACTAAGGTAAATGAAAATGAAAAAAAAAATCATAGAAATCTGAAATTGAAAGGATGATATGATGACAACAAAAAGCATGGATTGACGTACCACTTTGGCAAGCTCACCAACAGTAGCAAGGACGCCAGTGACTATAGCATTATTTGCATTGATTCCAGTGCCCTCACGTAGACGGGCCACAAGAGCCTGAATAGATATAGAGGTGGCATTTATATTAAAATTCTGAATACCCAAATAACATAATCTACTCTTCATCAAATTTTGATAAAAGTTAATATGAGAAACTGTGCAGAAAATGACAAAGCAATATTCATGAAAACAAGCCCCGCAAACCTTATGAATGGGAGCAATATATGGGATTACAAGCCTTTCAGAATGCCGGATCAAGCAACCCAACAGCTTGGCACTTTCTTCTCGGCATTTGCTATCAGTACTATAGACGAGTAAAAAAAAAAAAGATGAAACTCGAATAGCAACAAGATTTTACAAGAAAGGAAAATAAAACTATAAATTCAAATATAAATGTTACGGATACTGATAGATCATTTCCAACCTGTGGCCTAGGTAAGTCAACAGTTGTATTAGGTGCCTGCGAAGTGCTGGAAGAACATAAGCAGGATTCTTTTCTGATAACCTGCCGGCTATGGATATAGCAAGCTCTCGTACATCAAAATCCTTAAAATAGAGAGACATAATGAGCATATCATAAACAAGTACCAAACTTAGATAATGGAAAATAATTGTCTATATAAGCTAACATAATATTATTATGCCATTAAAAATATGTTGAAAACAACTGATCACCTTTGGTCAGTCCGGTTAGAATTCTAAAATCCAAACTAATATTCTAAAATTGATCTTCAAATGTAGAACCAGAAGCAGACTAATTTAAGAGTAAACAAATCCATAACTAAAAAATTATAAAGACTAAAGTATAAAATGATAGATTCCCATTTCGGTTCCTAAATCCTTTTTGTGTCTTGTAAGGGTCAAATATTGTAAATTGTAATAGTTTTGACCAAAATAAAGAGATAGCTTCCCTGGAAGTTTGTAGTCACCACTTTCATCACACAAAAAAGATTAGCATCCAACTAGCACTCAAACACAAAGAGGGAACCAAAATACTCTTAAATAGTTATTATTGTTGAAAACTGAAATTTACATGACAAGGGTGCCCTTATTTATGATTATAAAATTCCTCAAGATCAAAAGATAGGATAGATGGTTCACTAGTGAAAAAGAATCATTAAAATCCAATAATAGGTCACATGAGAGATGCAATTACAACCACTCGCTATGGCAATCAAAAAGCAAGTAAGCTGCATAGATCCCCATAACAAAGCTAAAGCGCCCAAAAATTTCACCTAAACCAGTCACAAGCCACAGACCAAAGGGATGACAAGCTGGAGTAGTATGGGCAACTGACTTACTAGAATTTTTAGCAAGATTATCACTAAACTACTAAAGGACAAACTACTAAACAAAATAGCATAGACCTTTCAATTATAAACACATGTCCTATATTATTGTTGAAAATAATTAATGAAATTTGCATCTACTATTTTGTTCAAAAAATATATTCGTGATAAGGGACTACAATTTTCTGCAAGTTTTGCATTATTTACCTCAGAGGTTATACTACAAACAAACCCATCAAAAAATTAGATTTCATCAGGGGTTCAAATATAATGCTATTTTCAAGCATAACAAAGAATTCAAAGAGCATAATATATAAGTTAAAGAAAAATAGAGGAATCTCCAACTCATTCAAAACAAGATTGATGAATGAATGAAAGGTTGAAGTTTTATGTGATATTGTCATATAATTTATCAAAACCATCCTTCACAATGTTGTAAAACCAATAACCTAATTTTTCATAACAGCACAACCAAAATTACAATATAGTTAGGTTTACAATTTTTTTTTGGCAGGCCCCCATAAGGATTATTTGGTTTTCTATATGCTATCTTATATTACGAAGTGTTTAAATTTGAAATGAAAGTTGCAACAAGCTTATGCCAAATTATCAATAGGACAGTCTACAATTTTTATTTTAACAGTTCACTTAGTAGAACCTTCCCAAGGAACACTTTTTGTCCCACACAGAATTATAGGATGCCCAAACAATAAATAGTGCAAGTGATCGGAAACCATGAACAATACCTCGTCATTCAGTGCCACAAAAATGGAAAACAAGCTATCAGCCTGTGCCAAAAATTCATCATAACTGTTGTTATCATGAAGAGACAAAAACACTGATCGCCGAACACTAACATCAGCATCCGAGACAGCTGCAACAAGAAGTTTTTCCATGATCTGCAGATAAATACAAATCTCAACAAGCATGTACAACCATCTCCATGTTGATGTAAAAGCTACCATTTTGTTATCAAGTAAAGCCGATGATGTGTTTGTTCAATATAAGAGGAAAACAGCTAACTAGAAAACAAATAAACAAAAAAGACAACATATCATCTAATTTTTTTGTCGTATAAAACCTAGATAGCATTCAAATATAATAAGAGCATGCAGTTCACCTTTGAAAAGCTGATTCGGCAAGCAGTTGAAAGGTTAATGAAAAATTTTAAGGAAGAAGATTTAATTGAACTAATCAGAAGGAACTACACAAATCATTGTATGAATTTGCAAAAGATGGCCTGTACTGATGAGTGCATTCAACAGAGACAGCATTCATTATTCTCCATGTCTATTAAAATTAAGATGAGCAAAGTTCCTAGAGCTACAGATAATTATACAATCCTCCATAGCATATTAATAGGTGAATTAAAATTACGAAGAGCACATTATCTTAGTACTAAAGCTAACATGTACTATCATATATTATCTCCCATATCCTGCATCCTTCTTGCACCCTTTCTTGCCAATAGTAAATACACAGGAGATTACACTGGAAAAATTTTAGTAGCGTCATAGAAACTTGCAGCATCTAGAAAATCAAAACTATTTAAAACATTTTTGATGCGGACATCCGATCATGAAGATTTTCAAAGGAGGAGACAACGATCGACGGCCGAGATCATTCCAACTTATCTTAATTTGTTATTTGTAATTTTTATTTTTATTATGAATTTTTCGTTTTTACCCTTACTTAAGAGGGTCGTTCTATGTAAGCCCTAGGGGAATATGTGTCTTATTTTAGTTTCTTAGGCCTATATATAGAGGCCCTTGCTTGTGTAATGTAATGAATGAAAGATTAAAAAAATTTTGCTTCCTTGCTCAGTTCTTGTGAGAGCTTGAGAGTTTGAGTGGAGAGAAATCCCTAGGAGAGGGAGATTGGATCACCCACCAACCTTTGAGACGGCCGGGTTTGTGGTTTTCTTCCTTATCTTTCTCCCTTTCTCCTTCCACCACCACTATCGGGCATCAATACATCCAAACCATCTCCAACTCCAAGCCATCGTATCCTCCTAACCGAGCTCCACAGATTTTCCTCCACAAGCCGTCGGCCACCTTACCTGAAATCCCTTCCAACCGCCGGCCCTAGCTCCCTAGCCGCCGGCCTCACCCTTCCCCCTTCCTTCTTGGGTTTCCTAATTTGAGATGAATGAAATTTGGACTTAATTTGAAATTAAAATTATATAAATTTGAAATTCAAAATTTCTTTACTAATTTAGTTCATCTATTTTAGTAAAGTACTTAATTTAAATCAATTTGAATTTCAAATTCAAATTGGATTTATTTCATTACTTTCATAATTCCTAAAGTCAAATTTAGAAGCCTTAACTCACCCCATTTAATGCTCCCTTATTCATGCATTCCGCCGCCCCCCCTATAGGGAATTTGATTTGCTAAATTCTCTCTAGCCCTCATTGGAGATATTTCCAAAATTCCCCCTCAACCTCCTTAACCGAAATTCCCTAATCCCTCTTTATTTAATTTGTTTCCAAAGTGAGATCCTTAATTTTGGAAAAAAATTTAAATCCTCCCCCCCCCCTCCCTCCCTCCCTCATCATTGCCGCCGCCCCCCTCCCCCTCTCTCTCCATACCCATCCCTCTCTCTCTCAAGCCTTCGCTCCCTCCTTAATTCTCCACTTGAATTTTAGGCATTAGCTCTTCCCTCCTATATCTCTCTCCTAAATGATAAAAATCTGATATTTCTTTCAGATTTTGGAAGGGGATATGTGGTTTTGCCCCTCACTTCAAGTTGAAGAGAACTTCTTTTCTTTTCTTCAACAATCTTCAAGAGTATTAGCCATCGTTAGAAGACTTCGTCCATTAACATCTATGAATGGTCGATCCGGAAACTGAATACGGCCTAACCTACGACGAGGACGGCTTCGTAAACATTCTCAATCAACTTTCTTTGACGTTAATACGAGGGTCGATCACACCATTGAAGATTACATAGAGCATATTATGGACACTTTGGTGGAAGCAATCGAAGAGTAGTTTGAAGGCGTTGAGTGGAGGATCTCCACCGATCCTTGACAAAAGGTTCTACTTTCCCCTTTCAACATATTTCTTGAGTCTAACTTTATCTTCTGTTTGAATGTAGTCACGAAGGACGCTTCCTCCTGTTTCTGCTAAGCTTAGTAAACGTAGGGTTTTGAGTGTACTTCTTTGTTTACTAATTCTCATTTTTAGATTAGGGATTCTTATTGAAACTACTATTCTGGCATAACGTTGTTTATTAATTTATTTTGAAAGTTTCAAATCTATGGTTATGTGATTTAGCCTAAGCGGGTGTGACCCCTTTCTTGTTTTAATTCGTTGTTTCAAATGCTAATAGTTTCTTCATTGTGGTTCTAATCAAAAGTTGTGCAAATTCTAAACAAAATCATTGCATCCTCACGTAGTTCTATATCAATTTTCCATCACATTAATGTAAGTAAAAAATGATGCATAAATGCTTAAATTTCCAAGGCAAATGCCTGCCTTACAAAATTGAAGTGTGGCGCCAAGTCATTTACAAAAGCATCTCTTGTCAACACAAATAGCATGCCAAGGATTTCAGGAAAAGAACAACATGATATTAGGAAGCCTATGAACTCGTTGAATTCATGCTTTACTTACTATGATGTGACTAGGTGAAAGTCTAAATGCAATGCGTAGATTAGAAGACACAAAGAAATGTTGTAGGGGACAGGATTTAGGTGCAAGTATAGAAGCTTAATGGAAGAGATAATTGCCTGAAAAGCTAAAGATGTCTAGTTGCTTTGAGATTGCCCGTGTTCCAGAGATTAGTATTACTTGATATGTACAGAATAGAAACATATTAACTTTTCCACAATAATTCATGCATTAGCTTCTGATAGCATAATAGATGCAAACATGAAACATCAGAAAATATACCATATCACACTAAAACAAAATCATTAGATAACATCCATGGTAAATAATGATAGCAATTAAAGCAGTAAAATTTTGACATGGTGAAAGATACTGATAAGTTGTCACAATTGGGATTCCAAAGTTTGCGTAATCAACCAAAAAACATTAAATGTTGGAATCACCGCAAAAGATTTCATAACAGCTCCTGAGGCAACCACTCATATATGGAACACCCTACATAATTATAATATTGATGTGCAAGAAAATTTTCAAAGAATTATTTATTTCTATGCAATATCTTTCCAGCATTAGCTTGAATACATAGCTGATACGACCATTCCAATCTAGACCATGCCAGATGTAAAATTGTAAATGAATCATCTGAACTAAATTCAACTTTTAATGTTAGATACCAATTAACAAAGCTAAAGATATTATTTTTTTTTCAGTTTGCATTCCAACACAGCAAAAATCATATTCAATTAACTTTTTTAAACAAAAAAAATGTCATGAAAGCTCCCAATGCCACCTCTCAGAAATGTATATATGAAACACAAAACATTATTCCTAATATTGGGGTATAAAATAGCCAAAGAATTGAAGAACATATCCAAACCGTTCTTAACAAGTCATGATCCACATGGAATACCAAAAACTTAAACTCAACTCATTCTAACCTTTTGGAGTATCCCAAACTAACTAAAACAAGACACTCTTAGCACCACAAGGTTTAAGCAGATCATGAACATCTACCCTGCGATACCTCCTGTGCCTCTCAAGTCATGATGTAATCATGATAATCTCATTTTCTCTCTCATTCATATAAATCCTCAAAACCAAGTCATACAGAGTGGTAGCAACTGCCAACACGGTGACAATTCCTTCCAGTAACCTCTTGCATCCCCATCCACAACAATTGCTTCTTCAATCACCTCCATCCCCATACAGCAACATGCACCCTCATCTTCAACAGAGAACTCTACAAATTACCCTAATTCTCCTTCTTCACCACTGTCACTCCCTTCTTCACTCACTATTGAGGTTGTATATATCTTCTATCCTTCAATAGCTCACAATATAATTTTGACCAATCATCATCAAGATTATATCCTTAGCTCTGTGTCATAGCAGTAACTGTCATTTTCACCCTCAATTGAATCATTTGTTTAAATCGGCAATAAAAAGGTTGCGGATACTTCATCCTCTTCTCAGATCTCAATCAAAATGCATCTTGCCATCATAAAGCAATGAGAAAAAAAAGTTAAGTGTTCACTCTCATTGTTGTTCATATTTACATCAGGAGCAGAGAACCGCATTGAAACCACAAATCACAGGATAGGATTTGGTTCTACCAAGTTTCCATATCAATTCAGGTAGTTTTTAGTTCCTGGATGCTAGGAGCCAATTAGGTCAGGATAGTCACCGGCCTTTCAAAAAACTGCTTTTAGCAAAGGCAGACAATGTCTAGCTAATAACATGTGTAAAGAAAATTTTATTTATAACAATCAAGATTAAAAGAATAGAAACAAATCAATGCATCAGCAAAAAAGACAACAAACAAGAGTTCTCAGATTTTTTTATAATTAAACGCATAACTGTCTTTTTTTTATATAATGTTCAAGAAAGAAAACTAAAAACACGTCTACAAAACATGGAGCTTAACACGTGTGTACTGACATATGCAAAATGTATTTCAGACAGACAAACCTCTTCCACAAGACGACGACGCTTCGTTCCACCAATCCGAGTGGACCTACTTGAACTGAATTGTGAACTAGAAGAGAAGGAGAACGAATTGGCTACCAATCTGCAACAACATATGGCAGCATCCCTTCGGGTGTTACCATCTTCATCCTCCAAGTAAACAATTACAGAATTTCGAGCAAACTCGAGAAGCTCATGACCCTGAAAATACCCTACTTTCATTTTATGAAACAAACACAAATATACACATACATTAATGATAGTCACTAGCATACCTTGAAATTGAAATGAGCTAATGTTCTCAAAGCAAGCTGCACCAGAATGGAACCACTAATATCTGAAAATTGCTGAAGATTGTTCGCAGTGTTTGCTCGGGAAGCAATAACACCTGGCTTTGACTGTGGATAAGGTCTCTTTGACAACGCCATAGAGATACAATCAAGCAATCTTTCTTGAATGGTAGGTAGCAAAGATGGAAGACTGAAAACAAAGTCCTTTAGCTAAGGTTCATTTTTTGCATGATTACGCCAGCATAAAATATTAATTATCCAAAAGGAATGCAAATATTAAATAACCTGAGACTTATTTGCTCAAGGGCATCAATAAGTGTGGGACTAAGACCAGAAGAAAACATTGAATCCAATAAACCTCTTATATGAGGTTCCATAGCAGGTCCCATGGCCTTCGCAAAGCTTCCAACACAGGCTAAGGCTTCAAGGGATGGTCTCCCTCTACGAGGAGCAATCTGAATTTTTAGACAAAAAGGTTCTTGAAAATAAGATTTATTGACAAAAAATGATATGACAAGAGACAGAAATATATGTGGGTAACATACTGCATCACGCAAGTGTAATGTAATTGTTGGTAGATATGGAATAAGTTCTCCATTCAAGGCGCCTGCCATTTCCCCAAGTGCAATGAAGCCACTGGCACGTTCAGCTGGATTACGAAGGACAGCTAGAATATGATCCATACAAATCTGGCCATAAAAGGATTAGGTAGATAATTGGATTACACTCTAAAAACAAAAACAATCAATCAATATAAATAAAAATGCTAAGGAAAATAGTACCTTTAAATAATTCGTCACAAAGCGATCACGCAAGAAGTGAGCAATACGAGGAAGCAGTGATGTTATGCTGAGACGTACAAGCCGATCCCTATGCTCTAAATATTTGAGGACAATATCAGCCACCTCTCTGTACCTCGACATCATAAATTCACCAGTATTTCTAGGGAAGGAAGAAGAAAATGAGCTTATTTTTTGCCCTAACTTTAGGGAAATTTTTAACGAAAATCATTTGATTTGTCATACACCTCTTTTATACAAGTGCAAATAAGCAAAAAGATTTTATGACGGGCGTAAGGGGAGATTGGTAGTTTCACTATTTCTGTTCATATAAATAAAGACGGTTTGATTTTGCAAAATGCTGGAATGATATTCACCATGAGTCATTTTACTCTTTTTGGTTGTTATGTAACACTCAATTTTTCAAAAAGGTGAGATGAAAATTTCTTCAACAAAACTATACGTCATTTTTCCCATATCCCGATGATTATCAAAACTATTTTTATAAAACTCTACATTTTATTCCAGTCATTTTGATATATAAATCATATATCAGATACATTCATTAAATAATTTCATAAGGAAATCATTTTCCTATAGCTTTGCTTTAACTTTACTGTAGAAAAATTCATTGTAGTGCAACAATTTCGTACTTAGCTAAAATCGAACCTACAAATGAAGTGACAGCTGTAAGCAAATTAGCTAGGAGCTAATAATTCACTTATAATCCTTTATCCTAAACCTTATCCTACATTCAATTCCCTTCTTAGCACCAACAAAAGGCGGAATTTAATGAAAGTGGGGTAGAGAACTCTCGGAACAGTTAAAATAGAGAAGACAACAACAACATCAAGCATTTATTTCACTATGTGGGGTCAGCTACATGAATCCCTTTTTCTTCTCCATTGTGTCATGTTAAAAGTCAAATTCTCATTTAAATCTAATAAAAAAGGTCCTTTCTAATATTTTATAATCGAGGCTTTTTAGGTCTATCTCTACCTCTCTTAACATAGGCACATAGGCCAAATCTAATACATTACTCTCCTAACTGGGTCATCAGAAGGCCAACGTTGAATGTGATAAAACCATCTACGGCGACTCTCTCTTATCTTATCTGCCATTGGAGCTACTCCAACCTTTTCACTAATATGCTCGTTTTGCATTTTATCTAAAAGAGTAAAGCCGCCCATCCACCTGAGCTTCCTCATCTCTGCAACACTTAAATTAATTGAAAGGGAAAAGAAAAAGAAAGTGTAAGAAAGGAAGAACTGAAGAGGAGAATGGAAAGAAAAGAGAAAAGAAGAAGAGAAGAAGAAAAAGAGGAGAAGGAAAAAAAAAAAAAAAGAGAACGAGAGGGATTTCAATAGAGGAAATAGAGAAAGGGAAGGAAAAAAAAAAGGAGGGAAGGAAGAAAGAAAAGAAGAAGAGGAAGGGATGATGGAAAAAAGGAAGGAAGAATAAAAGCAAAAGAGAAAAAGGAGAAAAAGAAAGAATAAGAAAAAAGAAAAAGGAAAAATCATGATTTTTGTTAATAATCCTAATTTAATATTTTTCTTCTACAAATTGAATTTTTATTTGAGTTTATACAATTGAACACCTAAATGAGGAGAAAAAAATTTAGGTAAAAATATTTTTTAATGTTTCAAAGAGACAAATAAGAAAATTTTTAATAGATTGTTAATGAAAGAACAAGACTTTGAAGTGATAGAAATTAGGATATTCATCGTGAGGACGATTTTATAATTCAGGTGAAATGCTGAATCTCTAATATCAAGAGTAAATAATTCTTAGGATTTAATAATTGAATTTTAAAATTTCATCGAATTGCAAATAGTCATTTTTTTATATTCAGCGTGACATAATGATTTTAAAAAGTTTAATGAATTTTATGCATCACCTATTTAAAAAAATTCAAGATATTTCTAATCAAGAAGTTTTAATAGGTTTATTAAAGTGCATAAAAGTTGAATTTTTCATATCATGTCGATCGACCCTTGACGTATGTTCAATAGATTAAGAGATAACAAGTGAATATTAATGTTAAGAAATGAAATTTTAAAATGTTAATGATGATAATATTAAATTGAAAAAAGTCAATGAAAATTCATGTCGTATGGGATAGGTTAAAGCCGAAGAGCCAAGTGACCAATGATATAAATGTGCCAAAAGCTTATAAACATTATATGACATTTCAAAGGAATTAATTAGTGATGAAAAAAAAATGAAAGTGTAGCAAGTAAATTGATAAGTATAGTGCACTTCATCATTTAAAATTTGACTGATGCATCTTATGTTCTCACGTGTATTCATGTTATTTACTTAAAATTATATCTTCTATTTATTTAAACGTCAAAGCCAATTGGTTTTAAAAATATCATTATATTAAGCTAATGGTTTCTATAATCAGAAATGCGCATGTTAGTGCAAAAGGCCACCGTGAGCGTTTAGCTCATCATATATTACGATACTTATTTTTTAGCAAAGGGAAAGGAGCAGTTGGGACCATAGCAAGCAACCCAATTATCTTGTACCCCATTATTATGAGTGGATGTATAATAATGAGATGTAACATAGAAAAAAAATGTGTATGATTTGAATTAAAGAATTTATGTACTTACAAATTTTTGAAGCTTTGTAATCTATTTTGATGGTTTAAATTATGCATATTTCTATATTAAAGAGTATGATGAATATATTAAAGGATGATATATCTATTATGCTGATCTAATCAAATTACTTTCTGCTCACTCGAACATGAGTTAAAAGAAAAGAAAAGAAAGATGTTAGTGGGAAATGAGTCTTACTAGATTGTTCGCCCTTGTTACGCCATATAGTCGATTGGAAGAGGGTCAAAATAGAGCATAACAGTTTATTTACTGCAATAAGTATTATTAAAGTGATAAAACTATTCACTTAGGTTTAGCCAAAAAATCATAAAGTTTTGCAATTTCAAAACACTTTAATCCAATACACAACATATTCTTTAAGTAAATACTATTGTAAATCAAGATTAGATATTTGTTGTATGCCTTGCAGCAAAGAATAGATTTTCGTTGAACACCTAACACCAGCTTAAGCTAAGGCTACAAATAAAGAAATTGCAATCAAAGCCTAATCTGATTCTTTAAATAGGTTATGTATCCTCCAACTAGGAAAAAATACAAAACAAAAACAAAAAAAAATGTATCCTTCAACTAGGGCTGCTCATCCTGTTATTTAAACAGCCTACACTTTGACGCAGCCTAAGAACAATTGTCAATTGCCAATGAAAACCAGGCCAACTTCAAACGTTACTTAAGGCCACACTAATCACAAAATGTTATGATGTGGCTACCATCCTAACTTTGTTGCTCAATCATCTCTAGGGCTTTTGGGCTTTCTATGAGCTGCTTCTGATCCAATTACCAGGTTTTTTACATTCACATGGCAGACACCTAGTTCTTAGCCAAGAGTTACCGGCAGCTAGTAATTAGCACTTAATAATCATTGTAGACGCTTTGTCAAGTTCCTATTTATTTTGAATAATGACAAAATAAAATGGAACAAAAAACATCAATTTGAAACTTTTACGCTCCAAAGAGTTGATGATCCATTTCGGGTTGCAATTATTTGTAAAAGTAGTCATAGATATGTTTGTGTTGCAGGGAAAGTAACATTTTTTAAGCTATTGTGAGTATTATAGATCTCTTCTTTCGAAAAAAATCAGATACCAGCTTTCTTACAACTAATATTCTCTAGCATATCTGATTATAAAAAATTGCTTCTCACTAAAAAAATTTCTAATAAGCAACAAGAAAGCAATACCTAAACAATAGTGTGCCAAGCTGAAAAGCAAAGCAATGAAAAAACAAATCATTAGTCACTAAAACCACCAAACTACTTAACCGCCTTTGTATTTATATAATGCTTGAATGGAAGCGTGTTTTCACTTTTGCAAAGTACTTTATTTCGTGTTGCCGCTCTTGCTGCTTAGATTTCTAAATCTGTTTTATGTTTTCTTCTATTTTAAACTTTCCATGACAGCCCCCTCAATGCTACGAGCATATGTCATCAGTGCAGTTTGGTTCTGATTATTCATATCATTTTGCCTTCATATTTCCTTTTAAATGCTTGTACTAAACTTAGGTGAGTCAGTTTTCTATTCTTACAAGTGAATTTGTTACTAACATAGTGGTTATAAACATGAAGCTGTTAAGATGCCATTTATTATGGTGAGAAGTTGTAGAGTAAATTGTTTACAGTGTAAATTTTCTGTAGTTGTGCTGCAAGAAAAAATTAGGAAAAAGCTCCTAATTTTTGCAAGCCAAAAGATTACAGACTTCCTAGGATAAAAATATAAGAAAATACATAAAGTTCTCAAAACTAGACAAAATACAACTTATACGACAAACAACAAACTTTAATATTATAAAACGACACATACAACTCTTGACACTTACAAACATATAAAATAAACAACACCTAAAGTTGCTTGCCAATCGTCGAGAAACGGATACAAGTGACGTCGAACTTGCGGAGAGAAGAAAGAGGTAAGAAGCCGAGACGAAGAAGGCATAACTCGCAAGTTATCCTAGAAGAAGGAGAAGGAAATACATAGCTCGCAAGCTATCAAACAAAACGCAAAGGTTTTCTTCCAAAAATTATCACCATAAACTCTCAAAACATCTACTATATATAAGAGAAAAGGCAGCCAAACAGTCACATAAAAACACTAACTAACCCATTAAATTATGGGAACTAGAAGGCCAAAAGTTCTAACCAAAACAGCACTTGAAAAGCCACCAAAAGGGGCAGCAAACAGCTCCCAAATAGACACAATTCATTCCAGAATCAGCAGCTGAAAAGGCACAAAAAAATGGGAAAAAACAACCAAGGGACAGCAGCAAGGGGAGGCGGAACAGCATCAGAAAAGCCAACACAGAAACCGGGTAGGAGAAGCCACGGGAAAACAACCAAGGAGGAACACGAAAAGCCAATACAGGGGACCAGAACCAGCACCCAGCAACAAGTCACGGGAACGGCACAAGGGGAAAACCAAGGGAACACAAGAAGGGGAAGAGGCAGCCACAAGAAACAGCTAGGGAAGAAACCTAAGAGCCACAAGTGGGAGTGAATGAACCTAATAAAGTTTATTAATGAGCCGAATTAAGTAATGAACTCAACAGCTCACCAAAAAACCAAGCAACCAAGCCCAAACTGAGAGGCAACAAGCAGCCCAAAGACCAAGGCATTAACACAACATTTATCAACAACGTGACTCTTCCAGCCAACGACAAATGACGGTTCCCCCTAGCCATTACAAAATTTCGGGTCAAAACAATTTCAAGTAATAGGCTTGCTGTCTCAGCAAATCATCATTTGCTGAGACCATGGACACCCATAAATGATGGTTTCCAATCAAAAGTAGAAGCCCATTCAAAATAATTTCAAGTAAAGAGAATGACCATTTTGATTCCTTTTTTAGACCAAAAAAATGAAAGAATAATTTGTCCAACTCTAAAGGTATAGAATATATATATTCAAGAACAGTAGCTTAAATTCAGATGCAATAAGAAACCACAGCCTAGAGCTCAAGAAATATGGCAAATACATGATAGTATTGTTGTTTTGATAGCTAAAACAGTGATCAACTTTTAGAACATGTCAAAGAAAGAAAACAGGAATAAAGTGCAGATGGGAAGAAAAACAACACACCCATGCCCACGCATATGCACATAAACAGTGTTGAAAACTATGTTGCACTGATACAGATACGGCGATACGGATAAAACACGATACGGATACGGGAAACGCCAATTCTTAAAAATACAGGATACAGATACGGCGTGGATACGGCATTATAATATATAAATAATACATAAAAATTAAGAAAATAATCAAAGTGTAATATTTGAAATAACAAAAAATTTGAAATAAAAGTAAGCATTAAATATTTAAATGTCTAGTACAACAACAAAAACAAAAAGATAAATTGTTCAGCACATGAAATTTCAACTATTAAATAGAAGGAATGATAGAATTAGCTTCTTTAGTGGGTTGTCTTTGAGTTTCTATATCATCTTCAAGAAATATCATAGCTCCTAATTCAGGCTCATCAAGTAAAAGATTAGCAATTTCTAATATTCCCATATCCTCAAGAGATTCAAATCCATCTCCAACAACATCCCACATCCTGTTGTCTACTTTCATATAAGTTGGAGTTTTCCTTGAGAGAAGTTGAAGGTTTGTATGAACATAAACTAAATCTTCAGCCCGTTGTGGAGTAATTTTATTTATCTTCATTGATTGGATGAACGAGTATGTACTCCAATTTCTTTCACAACAAGATGAGGATGAAACTTCGTCAAGCAATTTTATCACGATTGTTTGAAATAGAGGCGCTGAAGCTCCATGTATAATCCACCACATTTTCGGATCAATTCTTCACCTATCACGCAATGACTCTTGGTCACCAAAGTCCTCTAAATAACCAAAAATTTAGCAAGCTCAATATTGACACTTCTTCTCTCCTCGTTTAGAAAATAACGCTTCAAACATATCTTTCTCATATTTGAAATTTCTAAATCTTTATACGGAGAAACTCTTTGAAGATCCTCTTAAAGTCATTCTTTAGTTGAATATCTTCAAAAAAATATTAAAATGAAATAATGAAAAAATGTTGAAATTATCAAACAACAAATTGTGAATTAATAATGAAAAATGTTGAAATTTACCTGGGATTTAGTGAGTGAGCCAAGCAATGTAAAGATGTATTACTTTTGCTTCACCTATCTTCTAGAATAGCATAAATAACATTCCAAAAGCTTGAGTCTTCATGAAGTGTTTTCCTCTTATGGCTATATATAATTTATTTTACTTTGGCAAACATTGAATCCCACATCTCATAAATGAGATGTAAACAAGACTTATCCGTATCAGCTACTCTCAACATCTCATAAATTGGATCTATGAAATTTATGATGTATTCAATCTCATCCCACCAAAATCATCTAAAAGTTTCTCATTTATATATCTAGCCTTTCCAAAATCATATTCCCTATAGCATGACCATTTGTCAATGATCACCATAGCTTGAAGAGCATTTTTTATTTTTTTGAATCTTCTCAACATTACTATAACCAAGGCAAACCAAGTTTCAGCAACTGCAATCATCTTCAAATTAGATAAGTCATTGAACATATAGAGTCTCATGTAGTGATTCATAATAAAATTCCTAATTATAACTGCATCTCCAGCAATCACTATTATCCAATGACATTCATTATAGGTGATTTCGTTTGCCTCGGTATTCTTAGCTGTACAAATATTCTTCAATGCAAGATTAAGCGTATGCACAACACATGGTATCCAGAAAAATATGAGGATATGTTTGCTCTACAAGTATACCATCAGCTCTACAAATAGGTGCATTATCAGTAATGACCTGGGTGATGTTTGAAGGCCCCACCCTCAAAATAACTTCTTTGATTAAATTAGAAATAAAGAACTTATTCTTGTACTGTCCTTCACAGCTTACAGCTTTGATAAACATATGATAACTCTCTGTTACAGCCATGAAGTTGATAAGTGGTCTTCTTTGTGGATCTGTCCACCCATCACAAACCAAAGTAACTCATTTTTCCTTCCAAACTCCTCTAGTAGGCTCGAGCAACTTCTCGATATTATCCCTCTCTTTGCAACAACTTCGTTCTAATGACATTATATCCAGGTGGCACGTATCCTGCAAGATTATTATTCCATGCATAGGTAAAGGCATTCTTGTAATATGGATTCCTTGCTAGGTTAAAAAGAAGTCCAGCTGAGTAAAACATTCTAGCTATTTCCCCATCTAATTGTTCTCTCATTTGTAAATTAAATGCTTTCACCAAAGCACTGACACAACATGTTTTCTTCTTTTTGGTTTAAATCCCTCCATCCAAAAAGGTCCCTTGTTAACAGTACTGTCATCACTTCTAATCGAAAAAGATGATGAAGGATATAAAGCATTAAGTGCTTGGAAGTGGAATATGTTTTGGAAGCTTTTTTTTACTCTTTTACTCAGCTTCACTGATTTTTCTTTGCAATTCAGTCATTTGTGATGAGCTTATATTCGGACATACTTTAATTTCATGACCACTAATCTTCAACAAATGAGCTTTCACTCTATAATATAATCCTTTGTATGTGGCATTACAAAAATTACATTTGAATGTAATATTGCCACCACCTTCTGACGTTTTACCTATTTTTGTCTCATAACCCCATAGAGGTTTGTTATCTTCAATATTGGTCTCTGATGGACCATCAGTAGACCCAATTTCTATACCACTAGAGCTCATTATCCTACAAATGATCGACACAGATTAATCCACATGAATTTGAAACATGAAAATTTTTAATTAAAAGTGTAGATATATTGCGCCTATGCCGGGGGTCCAAAGGGGCGCTGCCCCCTGGAGGTGTTCGACCTTATTCGGTACCCCTCTGTACCGAGTACCGAGCAGTACCGAGCAGTACCGAGTACCGAGCGGTACCGAGCACTGAGCAGTATCGAGTTCAGGTACCGAGCCTACGATTAAGAAAACGAAGAACAAAGAAAATGAACCTTCAATGCTCACGTCGCCTTCACTATTCGTGTTGTCGAGTCGCTTCGTCGACGAAGGATTTTGTCGGCTTTAATGCTCACGTCGTCAAGCCTCTTTGTCGACGAAGGATGATCCTGTCCGCTTCTATGCTCGCATCATCGAGCCGCTCCTTCGACTATAACGAAGAAGACGAAGACCTATGCAGAAACGAAAAACCTAGCTCGCCGAAATGTTTAAGCCGCATAAATGAATAGAGATATCGAGCGGATAGCCGAAATGAATAGGGCAAATTGCGGCACTTCTTTTTAATAGGACATGCGTATCCGATATGCGTGTCCGATCAAATTTAAATAATATTTTAATTGGACACGGCAAAGCTGTATCCGACACGTATCTGTGCCGTATCGGAGGAGTATCCGTATCTGACATGTGTCCGATACAGCATACCTCATAAACAGGCGTATCCGTGCAACATAGGTTGAAAACAAGCAAAATTCTGCTAAAGGTAGCCAAAAACACCACCCAAAAGAAGCTAATGTCACTGGAACATGTATAAGCTGTAGATACCTCAAAAGTTCTCCAACAGCAAGTAAGGAACCATGAATGCTATTGACTGAAGCATTTTTACCAAGTCCAACCTGAGCAGCTTCACACATTCGGTAATACCTAGAAGTTTGCAAAAGATGTAACCACTTCATCAAAATAATAAAGCATAAATGCTATGGAGACAAAAAAAAATGAGCATAAACAAAAATGAGCAACATAAAAATTTATAGTAAAAACTTCAACGGATAAGAAGCAGCAGGGCTCCTACTGCGGTTTTTGCTTTACTTTTCTCTAAAGGGAAAAGAATATGAACAAAGGATATAAGCAGCTCCACTGTTTTTAAAGCAGTTACTGTGAGTTCGAAACTGGACATGGACTTCAAGCAAACACGAAAATCTAGAATCATATCCACATGCCATGACAAACAAAAACTTAGACCACATCAAAGCAATTCAAGAACCAACAAGCTATCAGTCCTTTTAAAAAATAGTAAGCAATATTTGCAAATCAAGAAAATAACATCTGAATTCCCAATTAGCTGCCAAGCTATCATTTATATAGTTGCATTCCAAAAATCACAGCACTGCCTGCTAAATATCATACAAATTCAAAGTTTTGTATATATTTATGTAAAATGTTTATCAAGTTAGTATTTAAATTCATAGTTTGACATACCATTGCACACGCCACCGTGTCTCACGCTTCTCAATGACACGGAGACAAGCTCTCAAAGCTTCTACAGCCCTTTCTCTAACAGCCAAAGTGGGATCCCTCAATGCAACCCATATGGCATCTACAAATTCAGGAACATGTACATTGAAAACTGTAGATGCATTTTCAGCCATTTCCTGTGGATGAAATAAAATGCATCAGAAATGTAATGGAATTGGGAAAATGCATAAATTTAAATAAACAGGAAGTGATCATCGAAAAATTATTACCAGCTTAACAATATAAGAACCAAAATTTATGCATCAAATACAAAGGAACAATTATAGATGTTTGAAAAACTACTATATTAGGTAAATTTGTGAAGCCATAGATGTCTAAAAGAAAGCATCACTTTAAGTTTAAGTTCAGCGCATCTAAGAATCTTTTCTTCTTATAATAAGTGCTGCAATAGGTCATGCATCTTTGGGGAAAAAAAAAAGCAACAACAACAACAAGCCTTTATCCCACCAGGTGGGGTTGGCAAAATGAATCTTTTTTCTCCATTGTGTACTATTAAGAGTCAAATTCTCATTTAAATATGATAAAAAAATTCATTTTTAATCTTTTTTAGCAAAATCTTTTTAGGTCTACCTCTAGCTTTTTTAACATAGGACGGATCTAATACATCTACTTTCTCCTAACAAAGTCATCGAAAGGCCGACATTTTATGTGACCAAACCATCTAAGGTGACTCTCTAATATTATATGTCACAAGAGCTACTCCAACAGTTTTATGTATACACTCGTTTCATATTTTGTCTCTAAATGTAAAGTCACTCATCCACCTAAACATCCTCAGCTTGACAACGTTTAACATAATTTATGCTTCTCTTTTAATGATCAGTATTTTGGGTCATAAACCATTGCAATTCTCTTTGGAGATTAAAAAAAACGCTAAAAGAAAATGCCCCTGAGACAACATAACAGAATTAGGCAAACAATAAAGCATTCAAAAGGATAAGATCATTGGCAATACAATCAGCATTTAGAGGAATGAATGAAAACGATTCAAAGCTGACACTAAATGGATGTTGTACGGCTAAAAATAATGATGATGATGGTTACATGTGATAGAAAACTAGTGTTTTAGATTCGACATTGACCATAGAAAGTAACTGAACTATTATTGGAAAAGGCTGTGCTCTACCCTTCAAGAAGCAAAGCAAGCAACAAGGCAAGAAGTATGGCAAGGATTTCAAGTGAATATGCAACAGGGCATTCTTCATCGAAATTCAGGTATGAATTCTTGAGAAGGAATAGTACAAAAAAAAATCAACATCAAACCTACATCCCACAATAAAACAAAAGGAAAATGCTACAGCACCCCTTTTCTGCTATAACATCACCTATCAGCAGCTTCCTAGACTAATCCATCATTATGTAGGCAGAATTCAGAAGAGATACAGAAAGCAGAAGAAAAGAAAAATACATTGGAATCATGCATTCACCTTGAGGATAAGGACAGCAGCAAAACGGCGATATTCAATTCTTTCTCCATGAAGCCAATCAAGAGCATTTTTTATCTGGAGGTACAGAGGAAAAAAATTTATTTTTCAAGTTATTCACTAAAATGAAACAACAGGAAGCATACCTGTCTCTCCACCTCATCTGCAGTCATCGCTCCACCAGCTCTGGCTAGATGGCCTAGTACCTTACTTCCAAGAACTAAGATTTCAGGGTCCCGTTTCACTTCAAACACCATCCTCATATAGCTAGAGAACTTTGAGACCTTGGATGCATTTTCACCCAAAGCAACATCAATCAACTCATCTATGGCTCTCAAAGCACCCAAATTTTCGGCAACATCACTACTTTCTAGAAGGAAAGAAATACGTTCATAAAGCTGATCCATGAAACGAAAGAATGACTCCCCAGTAAGATCGTGAGTTTCCTCTTCGACATATTTCCGTAAAGCTGGTAAAGCTCCATCCTGAAAAATAAAATGAATATTTGAGCAGAAAATAACTTGACATATATGTATATGACAGGACCAATATGCAATTCCCATTCGGACAAATCTTGTAGTACATATGGGTTAGCACAGACAGAACTTCCTCATTACACTAAGAACTCTCAAAACACATAGCAAACTAAACTGGAATATGAAAATAAACTACAGCAGCCCTTTATTAAAAGGGAAAGAAATTCTGTAGTGCGTAGAGAAACAAAATGTGGACTAAATTCAAACAAATTATACTACTTTTAAACATGCAATAAGAATCTAAATTGCGAACCTTCGTAAATGGATCCAAATGAAACACTACGTGCATTCTAATAATTACTAAATTGCAACCAAGAATCTGCAAGTGGAAAGAATGTAATATTTAAAAGCTCCAAATGAAACACTACGTGCATTCTCATAATGAAATACTCACATAAATAATTGAAATTGAAGGATTTTTAAATCAAACTATGTGCATTTACTCTAATAAATATGCTAATATCTAAATCTAAGATCAAAAAAATGCAATGTGAACTAAAAATAAGACAAATACAAATTGTGCTTCTGATGAGGTCATCAACAGACATTTTAGGCATGTCTACCGGCGAAGGAATCGTAGATCAACGGCTACGATTAGGAGCTTATATTTCTGATGTTTTTCCATGTATCTTTTAATTTCAGATTTTTCAGTTTACTATTTTGCCCTTATGAATGTTGAGTCATTGTTGTAGTCCTTTGGGCTTTTGAGTCATGTTATTTTCTTTTGATGAGACCTATATAGAGAGGTCTTCTACTTTGCATGAGGTTAATGTTTGATTAATTTAATTTCTGAGATTTTCATTTTTTTTTTCTTCTTCTTGCTTGAGAGCTTGAGAGAAAGAGAGGAGACCTAGGATAGGCTCAAACCGGAATACCCAACAGCCCACATAGGTGAGCTCTTGGTCTTATCTTATTTTTCTTGTCTTCTTCTTCCCCACCTCACCTCCTACACCTTACCTCTTCCCCTCCCCTTTCCCGTCTCCCTTACCAACCGGCCCAACCAATCCACCCAAGACCCGTCGGCCTTCCCTCCCCTTGCCGCCGGCTCAGGCCAGCCCACCACCCCCTTGCTCAACCCCCTCCTCCCCGTGAGCCATCCCGCCGGCCCTCCTTGTTAGAATTTTGAATTTCAAAATTCAAATCCTTCATTAACTCTTTCCTAAAATACCTCACCACAAATAGGAATGAGATTTAATTGAGGCCCAATCTATTTTGAAATTCAAATTCAATTCCCTCTCTTCCCTCCCCTCATTAGGAAACTTTCCCAAATTAAATTAAATCTGAAATTTAAAATCAGATTTGATATAATTTCCTTGGCCCCACTAATTAATCACAATTTTCCCTTTCCCTCCTTGCTTGCCCCCCCCCCTTGTTCCCCCCCCCCTCTCAACATTTTCTCTCTCCACTTGCCATCTAAGCCTCCATTAAGTAGCCAATTAATTCCCCCCCCCCTAACAGCCGCCCCTCTCTCTAGCCTAATTTAGGGAGATTCAAATTGCAATTAATCTCTCCCTCTATCAAAGAAAATCTGATATTCAAATTCAGATATTCTTAAAAACAAAATCTCCCTCCAAATCCCAACCCATAGCCTACCCACCCCCTTCTCCTCCCCACTCCAAGCCGACAGCATCCCTCCTCCAAGGCCACGGTTCCACCACTTGTCCCTCTCCCTAGCTCACGGCAAGCTCTCCCACCTCTCTATTTCTTCTTCCCTATCCAATCCCACCATGAATGGCGGATCCCGAGATTGATAGCGGATTGGTATTCGACATCTACGGCGACATCCACATCACCCGTTCACCCTTCGACGTCGGGTTGGCTCCGACGACACTGTGGAAGATTATTTGAATCGTATCCTTCCCACTCTCGTGGACGTCATAGAAGATCAATTCCAGGACTACGATTGGACAATCATTGGCCGCCATCCACCACCACCTCCACCAACAGCTACCTCTCCGGTAACAAAGACCTTCGTCTCCTTCGTAGTGGTGCTCTCCATTCTTGTATGGTTCTTTCTTCGCCGCTAAGCCAAGAGTGAACAAGTGGAAGGTGCTCGACATGAATTTTCTCATTATTAAGCGTAGGATTTTGTTATGAGCATTTAAGTATTCCCTTTTATCATTGGATTTTGTTTGAATTGTTTGGTTAACTTCAAAGCACATCTTTGCCTAAGCAAATTGACTACTTAGAATTTTTTAATCCTTTACTTTATTAGTGATAACTTTGTGGTGGTAACGCTTTATTTATTTACCATCTTAATTTCCGCAAGCAACTCCTACACGATTCACATCAGCTTCCCTCTAAGAATATGAAAAGTGAACAACCGTTGTGAAATTTACACAACTTTCTTTCAAATACAAATCCATAATCATATTCAAAAGCCCCATCTTTTTTAAGTACAATCCTTCATGTCCCTGTGATGAAGAATCCCTCCGATGAAGTTATGCAACACCAATTATAAGACGGCTATCTAATTTTGTTTTTAGCTAAACCAAGCAAGCCTGCAATCAAATACTAAATCGCGAACCTTAAGATATTTTAATTTACACTTATTTCAGGCCTCCAAGACCTCTTATAAAGAAAATTTATTTCAAAATTCAAACGTCTAAGGCCACCTCGTCTATAAATAGGTCGTAAGTGCAACTCTTAAACAAACTTGATCCTCTTCATATATGGGATAGAGTTGAACATGTTTGTAATGCAATGAACATTTAGATGAACTTAAATGCAAATCATGAACTATATCCTCTGTATGAAAATAGAGACGATAAAGTTCAAGCAATCAAAGTTTAATCATTCAAACAAAGGTTATTACACTTCATAAAAAAAGGGTTTATTTTCCAAAAAAAATTAATAATTTACAAAGACAAATATTTCGAGCACATATCCCAATGATGGACGCATTGATACAAAAACAATAGAAATGTGCACTATTATCACAATGCCATCAAACCTCAAAATAAATTATTATGAGCTCAAATTCAAAATAAATTACAATTTTTTTAAAAAGAGTTCAAAGGAAATACCTTGTTTATAGGTTAAAGCAATTACCCATCTATCATCTGCAAGAATTTATCGAAGATAATAAGAATTTAAGTATGACCTATGCTTGTAAAGAGCCAAAATCACATCAAGTGTATCTCTATGTTACTTTCAAAAGTCACGCACCAGTAAGAATGTGGCAAGTGTCACACAATCAAGTGATTTTGCTATAAAATAGTACTACTAAATTATAGTTACAATCAAGGCAGACTGAATGGATAGTTCACTGTAAAATGCCACTAGTAAATTATAGTTACGACCAAAGTCCGAAAGTTCTCCAATGGCTCAACCCCCTAAATGTAACCATTGACATACTTGATAGAACATGAAGCTCTATTTTAGATAATGTCAACATAAAATTGTCCCCTTAGACAAGCATCCACCCAAGATCTATAAGATTTCTTGGATGAAGCAACTCATGGTTACTAATAAAGATCATTTAGTCAAATTATGTTAGCTATCTCTGTTGACTAAGTAGATCATACTCTATGAAAATCGGGGATAAGGGAGCCATAGGATCTTGATTGGATTCATCATCATTCTCCCTAACATCCACTCTAAGATAAAAGAAATTTATACTTTATCATTAAATCAAATCACTGCTAAGATAAGCAATTAACGGTTGTCAACTAGCCTTAATAGAAAGTTCTCTCTCATAAGTCATAATTGAGATAATAATTAGCTATAAGTGCTTGCACCTATGAAAAATCTCGAAGCAAATCATAAAGTCCTTACAAATTGAGGGCGAAATGAGTAGATATTGCCTTATCTAATATCTAATCTGCCTTCTAAAAATTTAACTGCGCGGATTTTTTAAGCCAAAAGCAAAATCATAGGCCACTTATAAACAGTGGTATGTTTGTGTGTTATGTGCGTACACAACAAGGCTAACGGCGAACGAACTTGGATGAAGGCAAGCTCCAAAGCAATGCAAGGCTAAACATGGTGTGCTATTGCATCCACGCAACAACCAATAAAGCCGTATTATCCAATGATAAAAGCACGGGGCTACTTAAGGACCACAACAACGCACGCAAGAATAAGAATACATACCATCATCACCGCTATCACAGCCCTATGAGAAAATTCCAGTAGCCATTATCGCTAACTAGCCTTTATCATTGTTGCTCATCATATTGGTGTTTCCAATAAAACTTTAAGTACAACAATGATATAGAGAAGAGGATACAACACAATGTAAATATGGCAATCAATATTAATCCAACAAATAAGCATCACATATGCATGTTTGAATGCAAATTTCAAATGTGTTGTACAAGAATAACTTTCTATGGGGTCACAAAACTAGCCCATAACTATTCCGAAGAATGTAAAGCACGCAAAACCCTTTCCAAAGTCATGGGCTTTGGGTAGTTTATAAAGAAGCCTGAAACGATAAGAAGTAACATGACAACGAGATAAAAAGATGGCACCTTGGGATTTCCCCTTGTACATAGGTCTGCGAGAATGCGCTGAAGAGAGTCACCGCAGGCGCCGCTGCTGGAAACAACTCCGTGGCGGATCGAGGGCGGCGTAGCGGCCATCGCTTCAGGTATCCATGGCGCCCTCGAGGCTTAGGGGATGTTTGGTATCGGATTTATTTCGAGTTTTTAGTAGGATTTACGGTAAATCCAGCCAAACGCAAAAAAAATTCGCGGTAAATCCGGCAACTCCGTAAATCCCGGATTTGCGGATTTACACGTAAATCTGTAAAATCCCGGTAAATCCTAATCCCGCTAGAAGTCGGATTTACGAGATTTGGCCGAAGAAGCGCGCGAAAGGGAGAAAGTTAACTTCACAGCGAGCGAGCTACCGTCGTTGCTTCAGATCAAAATGTTGTAACGTCCGAAGAAACGACTCGTGCAATCTTTACACACAGTCGAACAGCAACGAAGGTAATTAATACTAGTAAAATAGTAATTAAATTATTAATTAAATAATTAGTAGGCTTATTAGTTAAATAATTAGTTATTTCTTTAATGGCAAACAAATTTATAACTTGATGCGGAAGCGAATTAAGTGGCTTTATATTACTCGTTCAATTTTAATTTATAACTTGATGCGGAAGCGACAATATCAACATCTCACTATTCACAAACATATTTTTTTCAATTGGAGAAAGAATATATCTAAAATATTCTTTTACAAGTTATAAAATAAAGTTCGCTTGAAAATTAATTCTTACATTTTAAAGCGTTACTATATTTTATTGTGAAAGATCAAGTTTTTCCATTGGAGAAACCCTAACAATCATATATATTGATATATTACCGAAAATCCATTGGATCAAATAAGATTCTGACATGACATACGATTTTGAGCGAAAAAGTTTTTAATCAAAATTGGGACCATCCATACTTCTTTTTATTAAAACTTTTGTTTGTATGTATTAATTATTCTGTGCAGACAACGGTCACCATCAGGGGGCAAATCAGAATGCACGACATCACCCCACTTTCTGTCTACCCCAACTACGTACCCACTGTGCACCGAATGATGTGGCGTGCTCTGATTGGCATCTGAACATAGAACTACGTCCGGTGTCCGCACATAATAATTTCTCGTTTTGATGACAAGATTCTTCTAAGTTTAAGATTGCTCAACTCTAATGACATTAAAGTACTCAAATACTCATAAAATATTAAAAGAACAATGATAATCATTCAAAGTTGTCTAATGAAATGCTTAGATTTTGAAGAGAATAACTAAAATATACTAACAAAAATTAATAAATTGACTTTCATTCAACACATGAAATAGACTTTAAGTGAAGATAATTATTGGATTTGGAGAATCTTAAAGCTTAGCCAACTAATCAATACCACAATCGCTATCAACAATCACCATCACTCACTCGCAACTACCAAACCAACAAGCACTGATGTCCATCATCAACCAACCGCCGCCATATATACATTCACTCGATCACTGTCATCTACCATCAACTAATGTAGACGATCATTGTCACTTGGTATCTTTATCATCCAACAATTCACAATCAAGCTGAACAGCAAAATTGTTCTTACAAAGAGATACAGCATAAATATGAATATAATCAATAATGCTCTATGACATGATATGCCTGCCATGAGTGGATTGAATACAATGGAACATGAAGAATGCTTACAAGGTAAGCTTGACAAGGAAGGGGGGATTAGTAAGGCTGAAAAGAGGATGGTGTCAAAAGCTTCTCCTCGAGCTCTTTGAAGCCCTGATAAATTGGCTCAATCTGGCTTTGGGGCAGAGCCAACCGTCGCACCTCGGTCATATATCTGTTAGCAGCCAAGGAGCCTATTATCAAGAAATTATATAAAAGAGACTCACATAGAAGAGAACATCACATCATCATCATCATCATCATTATCATCAGCCTTATCCCAAAAATACCAGTACAAGTAGCATTCAGGAGATTTTGTCCAACAACAAATAGTTTTCAATAAAAAGGCAACCAAAGTAACAAATCATGATAAACTCGTTAAATACCAAGCATATTCAGTGTATCCTTCTATTAGCTGAAGGGAGATCCAGGTACAATAATATTTGTTTAGTTCTATTTCCTTCATGAAGATTGCTCTGCATTGAGGAATGTTTGAACCTGGGAATTGTCTATTAAGTCTTCTACAAGAAGAATATCTATTACAACGATTACTTATACCAAGCATATATGATAAGGACATCCGACCTTGGAGGTGCCACAGGCGGAGCAACATTTTGCGTGAAGGCTCAGGAGAAGAATGACAGGATATCTAGAACGATTTGCAAAAGAACACGTAAGTGAGCGTAAGTTTCCGTTTCGTTTCTTTGTGCCTTTCTTACATGAATTGATCAACGTTTGCTTTGAGAACATGATGAATGTGGAGGACAAAGTGTGATTTGGCTTTGACGATGTGTTTTCCCTCTTTCCCTTTTTTTATTTAATTAATTTAATAAAATTTTTATTAGATTTTAACAGTTGTATACATAGAGTTTTCATCTATCCATCTCTATTAATGTATTGACTCTATATCTATAACAATAATAATAATAATAAATTAATAAAGGTACCATAAATCTCAAGAAATAGTTTCTTCCGTGGGAGGAAAAATGATTTTTAGTCGTTCAACAAATACCGCCAACCTTCAATCTCACCTACCCCCTCTACCAGCTATAAAGGAATTCAGCAGGCATTCATCCTTTGGGGGCAATTTAAAGCATGTTTAGGGAGCTTTGACAGCTTCCTTAATCATTGTTGCTTTCAATTAAGTGAAATTACTAAACAGCGTGAGCTATCACTTGCTTGGATGACTGATTTCCCAAGAGTTATGCACCCCTACTGTTTAATAATGCCATTTTACAATACTATAGATTAAATAATGACTACGTGTGTGAAAACATATGGGCAAGCTACGAATTACTTTATATAGCATAACTCCGCACAATTACATCATAATTTTTCAAGTCTACCTACATCAAATTTATAAGGAATAATGAATCGCTTATCATACTCAGGCTACAGAGAAAGCCCATACCTCCAATATATCCCTGCTCAATAGTAGCATTGGGATGGGTGCCATCCCATTGTGATTGTTGGTGGAAAAATATAAGGCTCAAACATATTTGGAATATATTTCAAACTAGGATGGCACACAATAATTTATAAACATTTATAATGATTTTCGTTGAATAATTAAAAAAAAAAAACTGGAAATAATATTCAAGCAGAGATAGGACTAAGGTACAAACCTGTTTGTAGCGCTAGCAATTTTATCCCGGATTCCTTTTTGTAATATTGATGTCTGCTCTAATGCTGAAGCTCCGCCAAACATATAGGAAGCTCCAGTTGTTGTAGTGCCTAGCTTATTAGCAAGAACCAACATAACCCACTCACGAAGAACCACAAGGACTGATCTCAGAAGACGCAGCCTCAGATTTTGTGAAGGTACAATAGCTCCATTTGATAATAACTGATCATAAACAGACAAAATAGCTTCAGGTCTGCCCCGACAGGCTGCAAGAAGACCTCTTGCTATTTCTTCATCTCCAACTACTTCAATGCCAGAAGATAAACGTTCCTGCAAAATGTTCAGTTTAGGTGTGGCACCTAGATCAAGGACCAATAGACTTTCAAACGTTAGCTAACATATGAACTCTATTATACTTCAATAATGAACAATAATCATAAGCTAAGGAAGAAATAAACCATTAGCCGGTTTGTCTTGCAGAAAAAAAAACTAAGAAAATGAATATGAAGGAAAAATGAGAGTTGTGAAATGGATATCAAGGTAAGTTTTACCAGGGCAGCCTTCTCGAGATGAAGGCATAATGCGTCCAAGGGTATGAAGGATCCATCTACAGGATAAAGATTTGATCCCACCCTCTTCAATACTGCACAAGCTTCAGCAATGCCACCTCTTGAAAGGGCCTGATCAACGAGTCTAGCCCATGTTTCTCTAACAATTTTACTGTCCGCATCTCCAGAATAGTTTGCAAAGTTGAGCATTTCCAAGCATATCTAGAAAAAAAAGTTACTTAAATTAGTTGAAGCAAATGAAAAGGCTGCAAAGAACATAATAAAAGATGATAAAAAAATACTAATAAGGTATTTCATTCTGTCATTAGAACACAAATTGAGAGAAATAAGCGAAATTGACCAAAAATTTTCAAATACAGAAAATGGTGATGGCGACTTAGTAACATGTACTAGCAACTACAGAGAAATACACGTCTATCATAGCTGCTGCTACTTAGCCAAAGAGAGCATTTGTGCATGTCAAGAAAACCAGGAGGCATGAAAAAAAAAACAATTTAGGCTAGAAACAAAAGTAACTTCAAAAATAAGTTAGAAGGTCAGATCTACAGCCTCTCCACCAACTAGCTTACACAGACAGACAAAACAATTACCTAAACAATTCAAAAGAACGAACCGCAAAAGGCTTGCAATTTAATAAAGCTCAACATGTTGAGAATAAATGCAATTAGTTCAAACCAAGTCAGAAAGGAAAAATAATAATGTTAGATCTCCATCATTACACTTTCTCAATGCCTTGAACTAATAGCTAGCCCTACATAACTTGATGAGTTGCAATCATTGCATGAAAAGGCCATAGCAGCACCTGTTGCTATCAACTATCATAATATATTGAATCTTGCTGGAAAATAGCTAATGTTGAACCAAGCCTCAACATTCACTCATCACTAGATTTCTTTACAAAGCCGCATATAAAGCAGAATTAATATATTACTTGCTGAAGTAATATTGCCTCTAATAGAGCATTATTTGAATAACTATCCATCACCATGTGAGCGGATGAATTAGCTTTACTAACCAATATAAATGATGCAGGACTAACTTAAATGCTATGAATATGGTTTCATTTGAGCAGCACGCTGATCTGATGTCCCCATCAATAAAGTTGATTACTTATGCAAGAAATGATTAAAGCAGCCAGAAATGAAATAGAACTCTCAAATCCACAAGCCTTTAACAGCATAATTTTACAGAAAATTGAAGTCAAGCCACCAATGGCCACTTTAAACAAATTTGTAGATAATTCAAGATATGTATTTTCAATAGTTGGGTGTCCCTCTTTGGCCATCACTCCTGGTGCTTTCTGAAATCCACCAGCTAAAAAAACTCAAATGAAATTGCTTTCTTAGAAAGCCATCTTTCTTTTGAAGAGGAACAAGATTGCACTTATTAACTCGGAGCTTAGTCCGATCCCTCTTTACTATTGTTTCTTATGGAATCCTAATTGAGTCATCAAAAAGATATATACTATTATAACATTTTTCTTTCCAGAAAGGTAGAAAAGGTGGCAGCTTAATTCCTAGAGTGGAAAAATATTTGCATATTTAAAGTCATGGGTGTTATGATACATGCAATCAATATCTCCCTCCTAAGCACAAAAATATTGAAATCTCTTTGCTCATCAGAATTTCAGTGACTTGGAAAGGCCCTTGGAGGACAAATCGAGAAGTCTTGAAAGCTACAAAGATGACTACCAAGATGATTACTATGTTGTGGAGAGGATCCTCAGATGATTGGTGCGCTAACAACAATCCAAGAGAAATCTATCAGACTTGATGTCGATAAAAAACACAAAAAAAAGTCCCAAAAGATGCCCACGAACTCTGTGACTGAAAAGATTGTGTCAAGCAATTACAACGACATTCTGACTGATGAGGTCATCGACAGGAGGTTTCGGCAAGTCTACCAGAGACGACATCGGAGATCGACGGCCATGATGGAAAGCCTCTACTACTGATTTTATTTGCACTAGCATTTTATGTATTATGCATTTTCTTTTCCAGTTTTCCCCATTTTACCCATGAGGGTATTAGTTTGCTTTTGTAGCCCAGAGGGCATTTTAGACTTTTATATTTTATTGTCATGTGGAGCCTATTTAAAGGACTCTTGTATCTTGTATGAGGGATTGATATTTTTGATGAATGAAAAGAAAAATTTTCTTGCTTTGTTCTCTCTGTGAGTGCATGAGGATCTCTTGGTGAGTTCTTCAAACTTGAGATCTCTTAGTGAGTTCTCTAATTTCTTTTTATTTACCTCCTCTTACCCACTCGAAGCTCTCACACTGTTTCCCTAGCATTGGCCGCCGAACCCCTTGGGCTTCCCCCACCCGTCGGCCAACCTAGCCCCACCGGCCGACCATGATGCCGCCGGCTTCCCCTCACATCCAGCCTCCCACCACCACATCCTTCCCTCACTCTCTCGATTGAAATTTGATTTTCAAATTTCAAAAGTTTCCAAATTTGGACGAGCCATTTTAGGAAAGATTTGAATGTTTGAAATCAATTTCATATTCATGAAATTGGATTCATGAAATAGCAAATTCCTAGTCACCCTCCCAATTTGGAATCCGGCACCTCATCCCTAATTCTCCTCCCCTCTCCTTGATGTCGCCGCCCCCCATCATTGGCCCCTCTTGATTGCATAATTAATCCCAAATACAATTTTGAAATTTAATTCCTAATTTCAAAATTTTCCCTCCGGTTTTACTTAAAACTGAAATTTATTTCAGTTTTAATTTCAAACCCTCCCCTAATCAAGCCGCCGGCCCCCCATCAAGCCTCCTCATTGAGAAAGTTTTAATCCTCCCCTTAATTTGGGGATTTCAAAATTAACTCTCAAATTTTCCCTCCCAAATTCCTTAATCTGAAATCAATTTTAGATTTCTACCACTTCACAACCTTGCCCACCCTAAACCTACCGCCGGCCTCCCTCTCCCTTACCAACCCGTCGGCCTCCCCTCTCCCATTTGAAGAATTCTGCGCGGCAACCTTTCATCCTCCCTTCAAGGATGCATGGAGGAACCCGAATGGATCTTTGGGTTTGAATACGATAACCGAGGAAGAGTCAACATCCTTAGATCCCCATTCTTCGACGTCGACTTTGATTTCGACGACACCGTCGAAGAATATTTGGATCGGATTCTACCGACACTAGTAAATTCCATCGACGACCACTTCTCCGTCTACACGTGGATCATCAAAGGTCGATCTACCGTGCCACCTCCACCTCCGAGATCCTTCTCTACGGCGACGTTCCTTGGCTCCTCCCTCCTCGTGGCAACCTCACTACTAGCTTGGACGATCTTCCGCCGCTCAACCTAGTCTTCGTAGGAAAGAGAGAAAAGGTCTCAAGGTGTGAACAATTCTTTATTACTTGTGGGATTCAAGTTACTAGTTTTTAACGTTATTATTTTTCTTGTATTAGATTAAATCGTCCGGCTACCTTCTTTTATTGTAATTCTTTTGCCTAAGCAAAGATGAACTCTACAAGCTCTCGTAACCGATTGGAATTTGAAGCATGAAATTATGAATGGTTAGGCTTTAATTAATTTTCTTTTCTTAAATCATGTGTAACTCAATTCATGCATCACATCACTGACACCATCAATCCACATAATCAACATCGTAATTGGAACAGTTAGCACAAACAAAAAACCATTTAGGGCCATGATTTCCTACAATTAATGTTTTCAAGCTTTCCAATTAAAACCAACATTCTCGATTTTTTATTAACAATGTGACAAAGAAAAGTATTTTCACTTTTCAGAATTCACTATGGAGGAGATTCCACAATCAAATAGATCTTCTAAACTACTATATGGTAGCATTTGATAGTTTTTTTTTTCCAAGAAATTGGTGATTTTTAATCTTATTTCATATATTTCTAATTCCTCTACTCTATCATGAGAAGTTTTTGCCAAGCTTTTCACTCCAAAAAATAAAACTAAGGGGCCATTTTGTTTTTTGTTTTCCGTTTATATATTTTATTTTGTTTTTTTTATGTTTTAATACAACAACAACATCAAGCATTTATCCCACTACGTGGGGTCGGCTACATGACTCTTTTTTCTCCATTGTGTCCTATTAAAGGTCAAATTCTTGTTTAAATCTAATAAAGAAAGGTCATTCATAATATTTTCTAACCAAGTCTTTTTAGGTCTGTCTCTACCTTTCTTAACATAAGTCAAATCTAATACCTCTACTCTCCTAACCGGGTCATTGGAAGGCCGCCGTTTTATGTGACCAAATCATCTAAATATGTTTTAATAAAAAATAAAAATATGTTTCACATTCTAAATAAGCATTGTTTTTATTTCAATTGAATATTGCATAAGAAGATGATGGCTGCTTGTGGTGGCGATGACCAATAGACAGACATAAGAGGGTGGTTTTCACTTTAAAAATGAAAAACACCTAAAGAATAGCTAAAAGTTATTTTGAGTTAAAAAAAAAACAACTTGATTTGTTTTCAAAACCAAAAATCAAAAAACAAAAACGGCTAAAAACACAAACCAAACATATTTTTTAAAAAAACAAAAATAAAAACTTATCCCAAACTGCCCCTAAACTCTAACTCCCTAAACAACATTTCTAAAGAGCTTACTCCATGCACTCCCCATGAAGCACAATCATTAGATTTTTGGAAGAGCAGAAACTTAACCATCTTTTCCAACATTGCATGAGAAGAATATTGCAGTGAACGTCCATACATATATGTAAAAAATTTTCAATCCATACTGATAAGGTGCCTGTTCTAATGAATTAAAGTGCAACAGAACTGATAAGTGTGCAAAACAGTTTATGTCCAGTAAGGGTTAAATTGGAAAAGCATTCAGCAAACTCCTGCCTAATCCCAGCCAAATTGATAATAGAGATGGAGCATGCTAGTAAGTCACAGCTTACAAAGCTTGGATTTAGTCAAATTGGTCGCTTTCAAAAGAATTTTGCCCCTAATGACAGCATCATTATCATTTCATCAATGTTGTTCATTTGTAAGGCTTCATTTTAGACAAATCAAGTATATTTAATTACCCTCATCATCATTAGTTTTATCCCCATGATTTGAGAATGGTTTTATGAATTCTCCTCCATCAATTCCAACAGAGAGCTATATAACGTGTAAATTATAATTTGCACAGTTATTTTAGTGCAACTACTAACATTTTGCCTACCCTTTTTTTAGAGCGTTTCCATCATTGTATCTTTCACGCTCTTTGTCACATTTATCATTGATCTAGCTAAGCCAAACTTTTGTAATATCACGGAATATGTCCTACACCTTCTCTTATCGCTTTCACATTAGTCATTTTACTTTTCTTTTCTCTATTTGATGTAATCAAAAAATATAGGGGAGATATAGGGGAGCCTATATTTTTTTATCACAAAAAAGAAACGAGACTCTTCCTATAAAATAGAAGACACAAAATACCTTACAAAGAAGATATAACTTAAATAAAAGAAAATAAAATAAAATTACAAAAACTCTTGCAAGACGGCTAGCAAACAACACGACAAACACCCTAAAGTTGCTGCACTTAGAGAAGAGGGATACAGGTGGAGCGGCACTTGCGGAGAGACGAAAGAGGTAAGAAGCCCGAGAAAAAAGGTTGGAAAGAGCCCGCAGGATTTCCGGAGGGGATGAGAAAGAAGGGTGGAAAGAGCCCGCAGGATTTCCAAGCAGCCCGCAGGTTTACAGATTTTTTCCAAAAATCACATATCACATAACTTCTTAAAACATTACAATACGCCCCATATATATAGGTATGAAAGGGGAAGACCAAGAGAAAAACATTAATTCCATAGGAATTCTAAACACCATAACATTAACACATAATTACTTTGCACGAAAAAACACATCCCAACCCAAGAACCGAAGTGGTAGCCGCGGGAGCCAAGGAGGCGACACCCTAAAGTTGTTGCACTTAGAGAAGAGGGATACAGGTGGAGCGGCACTTGCGGAGAGACGAAAGAGGTTAGAAGCCCGAGAAGAAAGGTTGGAAAGAGCCCGCAGGATTTCCAAGCAACCCGCAGGTTAACAGATTTTTTCCAAAAATCACATATCACATAACTTCTTAAAACATTACAATACCCCCCATATATATAGGTATGAAAGGGGAAGACCAAGAGACACAAACATTAATTCCATAGGAATTCTAAACACCATAACATTAACACATAATTACTTTGCACGAAAAAACACATCCCAACCCAAGAACCGAAGTGGTAGCCGCGGGAGCCAAGGAGGCCGAGCGAAACCAAGGGGCCACGGCCTCGGGAAAGGAGCCCAGGCGCGGAAAACCAGCAGCCGGCCGGATTCCAAGGGGCAAAAGCAAATAAAGCCATGGTGGAATTCAAGGAGCCACCATGGGAAAAAGAAATCTTGGAATTCCAAAGGCCGGTTTGGAATTCCAAGAGAAAAATATTAATACAAACATAAAAAGCATAAAAGAATATTTAATAAAAGATAATAAATGAACTAAAATGTTAGCTCATAATGAGCTAACCCTTGGTTCAATAAATGAACTAAAGTCCAGCTCATAAATGAACTAAAAGTTCAGCTCAAATATGATAAACTACTAGACTCAAGAGAAGCCAAAATATGATTTATTTTGGACTAGTGTTGACCCCCCCTTTGTCTACATCACTATTCCAGATGTAAAAATCATCTCAACCTTTTTACCTTTTTAAGATGCATGCCACAAGCTTTCTCATCTAGAACGTCCTACTGCTTCGTAAAACTCCTCCATACAAAAAAGATGAAACAATCCTTGCATGGATTGAAAAAGAATCAGGCTCAACCAAGCTAGCCCATACCAAGCTATCCACAATGCCCAAAAGCTTTAAAATGAAGTTTCTTTAATATTTGAATGCATGTGCAAGCATAGACAGTTAATCTTTACATGATGAATTGAAATAAAGAAAAATTACAGTCAGATATATAATTAACGAATGCTACAATCTAAATGGATAGAACAAAGCAAATCTGTGTCAACAGTTGGCACTGAAATTTCAAACTAACAAATTACTAAGATCTAAGTCTAGGGTTTAATAACTTTAGTTTAAGGTTAAGTTACTATATTCAAGGAAGTTTCTTGAAAACAAGAATCCACGCGCTCATGTAATGTGAACTGTAAGTTCCTTTAATGACCAAGGCAGCAGAAACGAGCTTAAAAGCCAGAAGCATGCAGGCAGACAATAAGCATAGATAACCACAAAAATAAGAAAGTCCCAACATAAGTAAATCTAGGTCTAACATACAAGATAAACTATATCAAAGCAATACAAATTAGATGCAGATGCTCGAATCAAACAGTGCAATTTATTAAACTTCTAATTAAAACCATATGACCCATACTTTAAAAAACACACCCAAAAAAAAAAAGACCTGGTGTTCTTAAACTGAATCAGTATATTTTAAAAAATTGAAAGTCCTCACCTCCCAAAGTTGAAAAGGTACAGCATAATCATTGTATAACTGGGTGATGCTCTTAAGATTCAATTCCAGCTCCTTAGCCTTATCTCTAGCAATCTTTGCTGTATTGGCATCAAAAACCAAATTTCCACGTGGAAAAGGGTCATTTGGATGTGATTCATTAGTAACCTGAAGCCCTTCTAGTTTAAATGCAATTGACTCCAACTCCTCCTTTACTTTCATTTGAAATCGAAGAACAGCAAGTTTGGCCTCAAGCATATCCAACAGACCATTATCCATGGTACTCATGGTTGATGATAATGAACCATTAATACTAATTGCACTTTTAGCCTGCAGGACTGCATTGCTCAAATACTGGCGCCTGGTTTATCAAAGATGTACTATATATTCATTAAATCTAGAATTCGCAGAACTATCCTAAAGAATGAACAATGTGGATGCATAAATGATAGGAATTGCAAGCAAACCTCTGGTCCAAAGTAGGAGCATCCGCAGCATCAGTACATTGTCTTTCCGCCAACCTGTAGAGAACATGAGCAGCCAGCAAATGCTGACGCTTCATAACATAGTATCTTGCAAGAAGATCAAGATACTTGGTTTGACTAGAAGGAATAGGCGTCTCCAGTTCTCTTGTAGTAGTAATTGGTGTTGATGCAGCAACTGCTTGAACCTAAAGAAAGAAAAATTGGAAGCAAATTAAATTTTGAAATAAGAAATGATGCAAATTCCAAAAAAACCTCAGAACATAATAAATATAAAAAAATTTCCATGCAGAACTATGTTCAGTCCTCCTGTTATAATATCTTTCAATAAATAAAAGGTAACAGGACTAAAAGCACAAGGTATGTGGTCAACTATTCTCAACCAAGATTCCCAGGTAATAGAGACTACCTACATGTCTTAAAATATTAGAAACATATGGATGTGAACTTTGGAAATGTTATAATATTTAAGGAAATAGTGCCACCAAGATACAGATGGAGTCCACTTTGTAGAAGTGGAGACACGGCACGAATGTGAGAGGATGCGGAGCAGGAACGGAGTTGAGGAAGAAGGCATAAAGAAACTTTTACTATCTTTTCATTCATTTGATTACAGAGAGCAAAGCCCTATATATAGATAAAGGCTAAAAAATAGACAGCAAGAAAGTGCATATTAACGTTAATAAAAGAAGGTATTGTGACGTGGAGAAGCCACGTCAGCCTTGTAGTTAACAAGTCCCCCGCAAACTTATGGCTAGGAATCGGCGATAAGTTTGGATGATAGATCTTTGAAGCGCTAGTGTGGAAGTGGCTATGTAAATATATCGGCGAGCTGATCTGTAGTGCATATATGATGGACCGAGAGATGCTTGTCCCGAATGCAGTCCCTGATGAAGTGACAGTCGACATCAATATGCTTTGTTCGGGCGTAAAACACAGGATTGTTTGCTAGGGCTAATTGTTGAGGTGTTGTCGCAATAGATTGTTGTGGGAGTAGTCTGAGATAGATGAAAGTCTTCGAGAAGACGTCATAGCCATAGAACTTTGGATGCCTCAGCGGCCAAGGCGCGGTATTCGACCTTTGTGGAAGAGCGAGCGACCGTGTTTTGTTTCTTGATCTGCCAGGAAATAAGAGAGTTACCTAGAAAATTACAATAACCGGATATATATTTCCTGTCTTGGCTGCAGCTAGCCCAATCCGCATTTGTATAGCCACTGAGAGTGAGGTTGCCCCTGCGAAGAGGTAGACATGTGTTGGTTGATCCTTGGATGTAACGAAGGAGGCAGTTGAGAGCGTCGAAGTGAATGTTGAGAGGGTTATGCATGTGTTGGCATAGCTAATGGACAGCTAATTAGATGTCTGGGCGAGTGAGAGTTAGGTATTAGAGGGAGCCAATTAAGTGAAGATATAATTGAGAGTTGGCGAATGGTTCATTAGATTTGTCAGTGGTGGTGGTTTTACAAGGTGTAGGTGTGGATAGGGGTTTTGAATTTTGCATTCATGCATGTTTGATAATGTTCTGAGCGTAGGATTGTTGGTGAAGTAGTATGCCGTAAGATGTGGGAATTGCTTGGATACCAAGAAATTGAGATGGGGAATCGAAATTGTGCATGCATGAATTTGTCGTGGAGATTAGACAAGAGTCTGTCAATTTCGGTGGTAGAGTTCCCAATTAGGAGAATGTCGTCCACATAGATGAGGATATAAATACGAACGATTCCGGATTTGTATTAGAGAAGAGACTCATCAAACGAGCTGATGTTAAATCCAAAGCTTTGCAAGTGATTTGAAAGAGTGGCGTGCCACTCTTAGGGTGATTGTTTGAGACCGTACAAAGCTTTATATACTTTGCAAATGTAAGTGGAATGAAGAGAGTAGTGGAATTTTGGGGGTTGATGCATGTAGACGGTGTCTGAGAGTTTTTCGTGGAGGAAAGCATTTGAAATGTCGAGCTGGTGTATTGGCCAATTGTGTTGTAAAGCGATGAGGATAAGAATACGAATTGTTGGCATTTTTGGTGCAGGACTGAAGGTTTCTATGTAGTCTATGCCGTGTTCTTGGTTGAATCCTTTTGCGACCAATCGAGCTTTGTATCGAGCGATTGAGCCGTCAAAATTAAATTTGGTTTGGAAGGTCCATTTGCATTCCAGGACGTTCTGGTTTGGTGCGGGGGGAACTAACTCCCAGGTTCCTTGATCTTGGAGAGCTTGGAATTCTTGGGACATGGCTTTACGCCATTGTTCAAGTTTGGCAGCTTGATTGTATGTGGTTGGTTCGGTGGGCTGAAGGACATGAGCAAGATCGAAAATTTGTTTAAGTTTGAGTGAGCCAGTTTTAAATCTAGTGATCATGGGGTGCCGGAAGGATTTGTGAATGGCTTCGGGTGCAATGATTTCCGAAAGGTTCTGTTGAGCTGTCGTGGGTTGGTCATTGGAGAAATGTGAGTTGGGTGTTGTGGGAGTGTTGTTTTGGCGAGGAGGGATAATCGTGGGTGTAGATGGGATTTGAAGGTGTGGTTTTTTACTGTGCCCGTGAGAGGAGTTGAGATTGGTAATGGATGGGGTAAGTTTGGATGTGGGCACAAGTAGGAGAGGTGGAGTTGTGAGAAAGTTGCAGGGTGATTCCGATGTTTGAGTAGATTGTTTGGAGTAGGGAAAGATAGCCTCGTTGAAAATGACGTGACGAGATGTATAAATTTTATTTGTTTTTGGGTCGAGAAATTTGTAGCCTTTTGGGAGGAGGCATACCCGATGAAGACGCAAGGATACGATAGAGGGGACAATTTGTTTTGGTAGTAAGGTTTTAGCCAAGGGTAACAAAGGCATCTGAAGACACGAAGGTGGCTATAAGTTGTTTGATTGTGATGAAGAATTTCGTGGGGAGATTTATTGACAGTGTTGTGAGAGGGTAGGCGATTGATTAGGTGAGCGGCAATCAAGAGGGTATCCACCCATAAGAGTTAAGGGAGAGAAGCTTCGGCGAGTAGAGAGCGAGTTGTTTCAATTAAGTGACGGTGTTTACGTTCCGCCATGCCATTTTGAGATGGTGAGTAAGGGCAGGTGAATTGGTGAATAATGCCGCAATGATGAAGAAGGGTCTTGAATTTGTTATTAATAATGCCCCACCGCCGCCAGTACGCAATTTAAGAATTTTGTATGGAAATTGTCTTTCGACCATTCTTTGAAATTCAAGAAACTTGTTGAACACATCGGATTTATGGACGAGAGGGTACACCCAAGTGTATTTAGAAAAATCATTGATGAATAAGACGTAATACCTATATCCCTGAGTAGGGATAATTGGGGAAGGTCCCCAACCGTCATAGTGGACTAAAGTAAAGGGGGATGTTGTTACACTTTGAGAACTAAGGTAAGGTAACTGATGGCTTTTTGCCATTTTACAAGTGTTACACATGTTTGATTTTGTGCGAATACAAAAACTTGGTTGATGTTTAGCTATGATGGACAGTGTGGGAGGACGGGTGTCCTAGCTGACGGTGCCATAAATCTTGAACTGCTTGGACGGAGAGGAGAGCTAACTGAGAAATTGTTGGATCGTTGTGAAGATTGTTGTGGAGAGGGTAGAGGTTGTTAATACACAGACCCTTGAGAAGAAGGCGGTTGATTGTCTTGTTCTTTATTTGATAGTCATGAGAAGAAAAGGTGATTAAACAATTATTATATGTTTTTAATTTATGAACATACAAGAGATTGAAAGAAAGGTTTGGCACAAGATTGAGATTAGTTAATTTGAGGCTACCCGTGGGTGTAGGTAGTATTCCTTTACCGGTAGTGTGTATTGGTAATTGGTGACCTTTACCAAGAATAACTTGTGAAGAGCCATTGTAGATTTGGGGATTTTGCAAGTGAGTTGGATCGGACGTGAGGAGCGTGGATGCGTCGCTATCTAGGAACCAGTCCTGCAGTGTTGATGACGTTGGAGTGGCAAAGAGTGCGGACGGCGGGTCTGTGTTGTATTGTTCATCATGCCGATGCCAACATTTGACGGCCGTATGGCCATTCTTGCCACATATTTGGCAAGTGATCGTGGATCGTTGGGTTCGGCTGCCACGTGATGCATTTGAGCTGTTGGATGAGCGACTTTTGCTCAACCGTGAGGGTAGGAAGATCTACAGCGACCACATCCGCGAGTTGTCGTCAGAGCCATTGAGCTGTCAGAGATTTGTAGTGAATGAAGTTCTTTAGTGGTCTCGTGCGCAAGATTAAGTTCTTCGTTGCATAGCAATGTGTATAATTCGTCCAGGGTGACCGGACGAAGATTTGTTCGGATAGTTTTCTTGAAGGTTTGGCAGATAGGTGGCAGACCATTCAGTGTATAATGGATGACGTATTCAGTGTCGACCGGAGCGCCGGCAGCGGCGAGAGCATCAACCTTCGCTTTGACTTCGAGAAGGTAGTGTGTCATGGATCTGTCTTTCATAGACAGGTAATATAACTCGTTCATGAGTTGAATGATTCTTGAACGAGTTGAGGATTGAAGCCGCCGATCTAGTGTCGACCAAATTTCGGCACAATGCTCGACTGAAAGAACGTATGGTAGAATTGCGGGTGAGATGATGAAGTAGAGAGTTGCAGCGAGGTTCTGGTCAAGAAGAATCTAGTTGGTGGAACGAGAATTTGGAAGAATTTGACCATCTTCGATGGGAGTGGTTCGTGGCGGACATGTAGTTGAGTTGTCCAAGAAGCCTTCGAAGCCGTTTTCGCGAAATAGTTTGTGAACTTGAGGTCGCCAAAGAGGGTAGTTCTCGGCGGTGAGAGGTTGAGTGATGACGTTCTTGATGTTGCCATCAAGAATTTTAGGGAAGATGGTATTTCCGGCGAGGTGATGACATCGCTAGGTTGAGATGCGGCGGATTGGTTGGGTGATGGCGTTGCTGTAGAAGAGTTCATTGGGAGGGAGAAGGGAGGGTGGGATCAAGGCTTTGATACCATGTAGAAGTGGAGACACGGCACGAATGTGAGAGGATGCGGAGCAGGACAGAGTTGAGAAGAAGGCATAAAGAAACTTTTATTATCTTTTCATTCATTTGATTACAGAGGGAAAAGTCCTATATATAGATAAAGGCTAAGGAATAGACAGCAAGAAAGTACATATTAACGTTAATAAAAGAAGGTACGGTGACGTGGAGAAGCCACGTCAGCCTTGTAGCTAACACGCTTTACACTATCTACATAAATCAACATAATTAAAAAAATGAAGGCTCGACTTAATTTAGGCTTCATTTGACAAAGTTATGTTCGCTGGTGTAGGAAATTAAGTCATTGTTAATCTTGCAGAGATGCATGATTTTCTCTAGAAGAGCATTGCCCGTGATATTTAAGCCATACAAAAAAATGCATATGCAGCATAACTCCGTCCTTTGTACATTTCTCATACAAATAAAAATTTCTATATCAAAGTCTTTGGAAAGCAAAGCCTGTAGAACACATTCCCAAATGAAGTCATAATGACGCATCCAGTGCAATGACATAGATCTAGAAATGAAACGTTAGAGCTCAATTTGCACACCACAAAATACAAATATAGCAAAAAGCGTTATAATATATTGAAAAAATACAAATATTGACTTAGAACATATGGATAACTTTGTTAGGAATGCACAAAATTCATAAATGTGTTATATGCATGTTGCTCTTAATGCATTCAGTTTTATGTTAAGAGCCTTCGCACCACCAGTTCAAGTTTGACTTAACATAAAGAATTGCAATCCATAATATTGCAGCTCAAAATTACAATAAAAACATTCATAAGCATTAGGGGGCAAAAGATCCAATAATTACATAGTTAAACATTTAAAAAACAGGTAATGAAAACAAACCTCTTGCTGCAGTTTCCTTCCAGCACTCTGCAGAAATGAAACCAAATCAGAACCCCCATATTCCAGCAACTCGTTTTCAAGGCCCAGTTCGATTAATGTCCTATATAAATGTTCATGAAAAGCTGTATCAGGCCACTGAACACTAAGTTGAATGATCTGACGTATATATTTGTCCCGAGAAGCCTGATCAAGGATATTTCCTGAACGAGAAACATTACCAACATCCCCTTTCAGAGAACGAAGGGCATTCATTACTGTTTCATAGCATTGTTCCCGTTGAACAAGTGAATTATCACGGCGGTCAGGATCAAGAGCTTGAGCTTTTTGCAATGGTAAGCGAACCACAGCTTCATAAAATCTAAATCATACAAAAAATAAACTGTTAGCATTTCTAGATAAAAGTAGGTCAGTAAAGAAATTAACAATAATAAATGTGTCATCCTTAAATAACAGCATACCTTAGGTCTTCAAATCGCTTACATACGGCTCTTAGATCTACAGATTCTGGAACTTTGGTTAGATGATTAAAGGCAGCTCTGGCAAGGTTTTCCCTCTCCTCAGCATTGCTTGTCATAAAAGCTCTTTCAAGACATTCAACCGCAAGGAAATACTTATAGTCCGATTCATTGAAGTAGCTCGGGCAACCTTCCCTTAGCTTTGCACTAATCTCATCTACTGTACCTCTGCCATCAGTGCCAGTATAATACTGCAGCAATAGAAAGGAAGCGATGATCGGCTAAATCTTAGCTGAAAGCAAAATTAGCATACAAATGCAACTACAGTATCACGTGAAATAAGGGAAAACTATAAACATGGAATGAATGACATGTGTTAATCTAATAGTCCAAAACAATAAGAGCTTCATAGAGGAATGATCCAGATATATTAGTAAAATATCTCATGCATGTATAAGAGGCTAAAGTGAAAGCATACCTCCATCAACCCAGAAATAAGTTGCATAGCGAGTTGGTCACCCTCATCAGAACATACTAACTGGTTGAATGTCAAATGAACTAACTTTTGACGAACATTGCCTTCTAAAGCCTGAACCAGACGAGTTACATGATGATGGTAAACAATTTGCAACAAGAAAAGTGCTTCACTGGATCTCCGAAGAAGCCTTCTTAGACATTCCATTGCCCTCACCTATTTTAAGATTAAGAAAATTAGCAGAGACTTTCAGATCGATTACATATAAATTCTCAAAACAGTTGTTCACCTCTATTGCAGCCAGCTCAGCACTAGTATGAAGAAGCCTCTGCCTTTTATTGAAAGCAGCATCTCCAGAAACAGTACTTGGAGAGGATAAGCCAAAAAGGTTCCTCGCTTCATTCTGACTATTAGCTCCAACATCTGAACGAGTCCCATATAAAATTGAACCAGTAAAATCACCTCTACAAGCAACAGAACCATAAAGTCCCCTTCTTTTATTTCTTCTGGACCGTAAGAATTGTTCTAGAGAGCGAATTTTACTTTCTAAAACCTGCATTGCACTACTGGGGAGTCTGCAACAAATGACACCTTCTTCAAACCGCCCATCAGAGCCAATCTCCCTTCGGAAAGTCATAACAGGCAGTTCCCACACTGGAAAGAGCAGCCTAGATGCACATAAACAAAGACCTTCATGAGCACCAGAAAATAGAGGCTCTGCTTCTGGAACCACCTGTCCCATGCTAAAGCCTCCAGCTGGGGCCCTAACACTTGACAAAACAGCATTACTTTCAAGCTGCGGCATACCAACAATGACTGGATCTTCAAATGTTTCAGCTGCCCTCTCAGAAACTGAATTGCTTATTATATTCTCTTCATCAGAAATTAACTTTGCTGCCAACATCAAACACATTGCAGCAGCCTCTCCAGATCCAAACCTATTGAAAAACTCTTCAATTTGCAATCTTGGTGCATTGGACTCAAAAAGTCTTCTCAAAATGTCCACAGGCCTGTTAAAAACAATCTCCATCAAACCCATGGTACTAAAAACAATGATTTTTCTCCTTGGTAGAATGTGTTGGGTTGCAAGGTCTCCTCGTGCCCATAATCTCACAGAAGCCTTCTCGCATGATTCTCTCAATCCACCAAAAGCATCCAAATCAGAGTATAATGAATGCACTGTAGCTGCAGTATCCGGTAAAGGTAGAACATCAGTAACACACAGCATTCGACCCTCCACTGGCAAGGACGAAACTAGCTCACGAAATGCACGAGAATTTCTCGGGTGCGATAACTGAGTGGTGGTATCACGATTCACAATCAGAAGAGAGGATACAGCTGGAGCAGATGAATCTGAAAGAACAAACATGCCAGCAGAATAAAAAGCTGTTTCAACCTTCAAAGCCATATCCTCGGGTTGAACTCTATTGGCAGCAGATATGGCACCAAAGGTAAGCCCACCACCAACCCCCAAAGGCGGTGACGGTCTTGTTGCTACAACCTTTAAACATGATGGTCGAGCATTACCAAGTCCAGTTAAACTAACAGAGGCATTATTCACACTGGATGGCGAAGTGGAAACATATAGCCTTCTCCCATCCGATAAAACGGCTACCATTTGCAGCCATTTTGATTCCATAGTGGATACTGGTGCAATAGAAACTATTGATGGCTTAGCCTGAGCAATTGATCTAGATCCAGCCCGTCTACCTCTATATTGTAAATCCCGTGGATCGATTAAATTTCTCTCTTCAGCCATTTTTTTAAATGGGCTACTACCACCAACTCCTAAATCAAAGACCTGTAGCTTCATGGCCTCTGTCCTTGCATAAAGAACATGTCTTTCACTGTCAATAACCATATCTACAATTGGATCCACGGCTCCAAACTTAAGAGCATTTGGCAAAATCCATCTGCACGTGTGCAATCCTAATATTAAAACGTTAATAAATAATGAAAAATAATTTATGTTATAAAAGGTAAAATAATCCACATACTTAGAAACAAGAGTGCCAAAACCAGCTGTCAGGCAGACCTTACGACAAGGCTTACGCCATCCTGAGCCAGATGTGTATTGAATCTCATAAATATGTCCATCACGACCAGAGACGTAAATCTGGCCATTATACATGCATGCAAAACATGTCATAGTGACACCATCTGAGGGTATGGTATACTCAGGTAATGGTTGCAAAGAAATTTCAGCATATGGATCTGTACCATCCGCACTAACAGCACAGCACACTCCAATAAGAAGCAACTAGCAACAAGAACAATGATCAACAATAGCAATTCCCCGTTAGAAAAAAAAAATATCAAAATCTCTAACACATAAATAGTAAAATATTATAAAATAAATAGACAGCGAATAAAAATAACAAAAAACTGAGGCCCTATTCGTACCTCATATCATTTTTTGTTTTTATAGTTAATTATATAAATTTATAACCATCAATAAACGGTTGCAAAAGGTAGGTGAATTTTACTCGAGTTATAAAGAAGTAAATTTCACTTCAATGACTTGAAATCATGAATTGTATTGATATTTTTGTAATAACATTCAATATGGCCATCAATGGAGCTTTGAATGGTCATATTTTTTAATATTTGAATCTTATCAACTACGCTTGCTTGTTAAAAAATGATAGTGTTGAAAAATTAACATCGTGAGCAGTCGCTTAGGCAAGTTGACTTTGGGAATTTGCAGTTTTGTAATGAATTTTCCTTATAAAAAACATTATAGACCTAATTTGAATGCAGAATCCAAAATCTTCGTGGATTCTGATTATGGATTCTGCAATTGTACATTCACTTGTGAAAATAGGTTTTACAATGAATTATTTGAAATTTGTTGTTTGAAAATCCTTCATTAAATTCAAGTCATGTCAACACCAATTCTTGCAATGATAAAGATCAAACTTAAAATAAAAATTTTATGAACTTACCATATAGGCAAAACGACTCGCTTGAGAAACATTATGTAAAAATAATTTGACATTCACATTTGAAAAAGTATTTGTGTATTTTCAAAATAGTTGTTCATTATTCCAAGAAAGGATGCATGACTCTCGACGCATATTGAATTTTATTTCAACATGTTTTGGTTCACGCAACATTTTTAGATGTTAAATTTAAGCACTTAACACATTTGTCGAAGCGTATAAGAAACTAGCTTGAATTTGAAAAAGAATAGATTTAAAAAGTTTCAAAATAATTGCACGTCTATAGAGTCATACTTTTTTATAGAGAGAGAGATAATTTGAGTTCATTCATCTTAAACCACGGCTCAAGCGTTAAATTTAAGAGTTTGATGTATTAGTTAAGGCATATGTGAGTAAATTGATTTCAACGGTTCAATAAACTGTGCATGTTTTTTATGCATTTGAATAATATACTTGCATGTTTCTTTATGCACTTACACAATTAACTTGCATACTAACACAATCTTCAACGAGCTCACACAATGTGTCTGTAGCCACCAATACACTCGCACTTTCTTCTATGCGCTTGCATAATGCGTTTGCACGTTCTCAATACATTTGCACTATACAATTAGGGGGCATGGCATCTGGACGATATTGTTTTCAAATATTTAACATGCCCCACATTTTATCCAAATGGTCATAAGACTCGTGACGCATAATAGTATACCACGTAGTCGCATTTGGTAAATTGTTATTCATATGGTGTACTACTTATTCACATTGTGTACTGCCTATTCACGAGAGGTGTACGAGCTTCTTTTTTATTCATTAATGCATGTGTCATTTAGAGAATTCATACATCTATGATGTGCAATAGGTTTAACCATTTCATCAAGCTTAGCAGCCATTCACATGACCACAATAGTTCAATGTGTAAGGGTTTAACGTGACAATTGTTCACATGAATGTAATGTCGTCGGAATGTTCTCGTGATTTTATATACTCATTATTGCTTGCATTATCCTAGCTTGTGCATGTGTTGCATATTCGATTGCAAGGAAGGCTATAGAAAAATAAGGGAGCCCCTTAGTTCATTCTCATTCCAATCTTTAAACTAGAATTCATAGTTATGAGAGTTTTAGTGTGAAGGGGGGTTCTATTCAAACATCTAAGTGAGCTACTTTTTATTATTATAAGTCTCGTGTAAGTTGTGTGCATTAGTTTGGAGCTAGAAAGTTTTGTCCTTGTTCGCAGGCGAGCTCTCTAAATTTGTTACAAGTTTCCAATAGGTTAATTTAATATTCAATGTTAGTTTTTAGTTTGTAATTTTGTAGGGGCATCTTCGAGAGTGTTGGCCATTTCCATCGCATCAAGAGAAACATGCATGATTGGTGTCGTAAGACATTGAGGCTGAGGGATCAGGAAGGCATGTATATGTCTTCGACTCTTCGTGTACTTTGCTAGAACTTGCAATATATCTCTATCACGTCAAAAAAGACACGCAAAGGTACTTAAATTAAATTTCCTATCACACCAAGAAAATAACACGAAAGGCTTGTCCACCACGTCATGAACGCCACCAAGTTTCCCCCATCACACCACAAAAACATGCACGGGTTGCACTTGTCAAGCCGAGCATCTAACATTACAAATTATTGAGGATTGTTAAAGACATGGGAATTCATACCTTTGTGCGTGAGAAATAAAATGACGATAATGACGAGGCAAGTGCACAAAAAATTATCTTTCTTTAATTGATTTTTCTCTTTTTCCTTCATCTTCTCAATATATTTTGTTATGTTAAGAAGAAATTTATTATAAAAAAAAATGCGTATTAGTAAAATTGAAGTTGGAAAGGCTTTAGAGAAAATAAAGTGTGGAAATGCTTAGGAGATAAAGAAAATTCTTGCCTTACTAAACTTTTGAACATTATTTTGAAAACTAAAATGATGTTAGACGAGTGGAGGAGTGTGTTGGTACCTATTTTTAAGAATAAAGACGATGCACAATAGTGTTCAAATTATAGATGAATTAAGTTAATGTGTCATATATTAAAATTATGGGAGAGAGTAATTGAGCATAAATTACAACGTGATACTAATATTTCTCAAAATCAATCAAAATTCATGCTGGCATGTCTACTATAGAAGCTATACATTTATTAGAAGGTTTGATAGAGAAGAATAGAGAGAGCAAGGAGGACTTATATATGATATTATTGATTTAGATAAAGCATATGATAAAATTCAAAAGCACTAGAGAGTTCTAGAAAAGAAAGAAGTTAATATTACTTATATTCAGGTTTAAGCCCATATTTTCTTGCTCAAGTCATGAATGTTCTGACTATAAATTTCCAAGAGGATATATATTGGTGTATGTTTTTTTGCTAATGATATTATACTTGACGATAAGACCTAGAGAGGGAGTTGAACTAAAACTTGAATTATGGAAATCAACCTTTTAGAGTATAAAGGTTTTCGTTCAAGCAGATCTAAAACCGAATAAGTAGTTTAATTTTAATAGTAACATATCGAGTGATGGGATTGTGATATTGGGTGATTGAGTCATTAAAAGAGTGCACGTAAAAATCTTAGATCAATTATTCAAAATGATGGTGAAATAGATGGGGATATTATTAGTAGAATTCAAGTTGGATGGTTGAAGTGGAGGAATGCATTGGGCTTGTTGTGTGATAGAAAAGTACCCCTCAAACTTAAGATAAATTTTTATAAGATGGAGGCGAGACCTACAGTGCTTTATAGCACATAATGTTGGCTATTAAAAGAGAAGCAAAAAAATTAAGTTAAGTGTTACAAAGATAAGAATGCTCAACTAGATAAGTGGCTTTAAACCTAGAGACAGAATGTGAAACAAGCATATACGTAAAAAAGTAAGAGTAGCTCCAATGGAGGATAAGATTAGAGAGAATCGCCTTACATGGTTTGATCATATAAAATGTCAACCTTATGAGTTATGATGGCCCGGCTAAGAGTGTAGATGTATTAAATCTGACCAATATTAAAAAAGGTAAAGGTAGACCTAAAAATATTTAGTTAGAAAGTATGAGAAATAATCTTTTTTTAATAAGATTGAAATGAGAATTTTGACGCTTAATAAGCATAATAGAGCAAAATTAGGGGTGTCAAAATGAGTTGACGAGTAGGGTTCGGGTCGAACCCGAGTTGACCCGAGTCTAAACGGGTCAACCCGAACCCGCGATTTTACAAACGGGTTCAAATTTTCAACCTAACTCAACCCGCGAAAACTGATGTGATCATGTGAACAAGTACAGGCTGAGGCGGCTACGAAGCGATTTGGGCGAGCGAACTAGCGTCGTGGCGCTGTCTGGGCGACGAGACGTGAGGCTGAGGCGACGCGGCGGAGCGGCATGCACGACAGCGACTGGGCGACACGATGGACTAAGGTCGACGCGACTAGACAGCTAGAAATGACTCAAATGGGCGACGCGATGCCTAGGTTGCATGACGCAACGCCACAGGTTGGTATGAATTATGATGTGACGGGTCAATTTTTCGGTCAAAATGGGTCAATTTCAAATTTCTAGGTCAACCCGGCTTTACAAACGAGTCGAAAACTTGAACTTGAACCCGACCTGTTATGCAAATGGGTTGACCATAACCCGGAATTTTTTTGTTTAGGTTTTGGGTCGGGTCAGATTTTGACATCCCTAAGCAAAATGATTCATTAGTCAATGTAGTGGGATAAAGACTTGATGTTGTTGTTGTTCGCCTTAATATAGTTTCTTTTTTCATTTTTTTGTTTTTTTTTTCTTCTCTAGATAGAGAAAGGAGAGAGAGAAGGGAAGTGAAAGGAGAGAGGGCGAGATAGCGAATGTAAGAAATAGTGAAAGAAAGAAATAATTAGAGAGAGAAGAAAAGAGAAATAGAGTGAGAGAGGGACATAGAGTTAGCGAGGTAGAGAGAGGGAAATAAAGAGCATTGAGAGCGATAGAGCAAGATGTAGAAGGTGAGAGAGATAAAGTTAAGGAGAGAAAGTGAGAAAGAAATAAATAGAGAGAAGGAAAATAAGAGATTGACGAAGATAGAGGGAGATTGAGAGGGAGAGTGAGAGAGATAGAGAGAGTGGGAACTAATAGGGGATCAATAAGAGGGAGAAAGAGATAGAAATAAAGAAAGAGAGAGAGAGGAGTAGCAGTGGGCACAGAAGTTGGCGTTCACCATAATACCAATTTAAAAAAGTTATTGTGCAAGGAGGTTATTGTAGCACGGTAGTTCATGTAACATTTACTGTGGCATAAGAATTCTCCCAACTATCCTCATAAAGCGGCAGCAACTGATGGCAGTAGGAAGCTTAGGCGATGGAATCCAAATGAAGAAAATTTAATTGAATATATATGCATGCAACAATATATATACCTAAAATCCTGGTAATTCTTTAACCAAATCTAGTATATGAGAGTTTGGAGGGTTGCCTCAAGCTGGCCAGAAAATTGGTTGCAGCTGCTGAAATTGGAAAAAAGAAGGAAATGATGAAAAGAATGAAGGAGATGAGCAAGAAATTTTCAATTGAGCTTGAATCATTTGGTAGAAATAAAATACTTGAATGATAAGAAAACATTTTGACATAAATAAGCAATTTCAGAATATTTTGAGTTAAATTAAATTATTTTATTCTAGAGGTTTTATAAATTGATAGAATGATCATTTTAAGTTGTTTAAAAAGGTCGAGGCATTGCAAGGAGAAAGATAAGGATATCTATGATGGGAAAGATCTAATTATTTAGATGAGATACTCAACTTCTAATATTATAGTCGAATAATTTCTAATATTAAATTTTGCATATTTTATTATTCTCCTGAATTATAATGAATGCATTCATAGAAATTCTTGCATAATGAACCTAACCTATGAAAACATCTAAAAGCATCAAATAGCTTAATGCATATAATGCATTGATGCATGTCATATCATCATTAATTTATATGATTTCAACTTAATCTTTATTAAATTTTAAGTCAAAAAAAGTTAAATAATAAAAAATAGATTTTTTACGTGTATCATGTTTTATCACGTACGTACATCATCATGAAATGATAAAAAATGCATATCTCAATACAAAGGAATATGAAAGATTAAACTAATGAGAACAATTTTCAAAAATCATATAAAAGACCATATCATGTCAGTTAGGTGGGCTAATTTTGATGACTTATACAGGAAGACAGGATTCTTGATATCGGAGAGTTGGTTGGCCCAACCTTTATCAACAAAAGATGAATAAAAATAAATTTGTAGCTCTTGATACTAGAGAGTTAGTTAGCCAAACTTTTATCAAGAGTATAAAAGGAAAATTCCTGATCATTAATAATAAAGAGTTGGTTAGCTCAACCTTTAAGAGAATGATGATCCAAAGGGCCCGAAGCCTATAAACATGATATGACATTTCAAAAGTATTAATGATCAAGAATGAAAATGAGTAAATCATGGTTAATTTCATACTTAGCTAATAGTTAATACTTGTTACTCCCAATTTGCTCATTCTTATTGATAATTCATAACACCTCATGAATTGAAATCTACTGCACTAAACAAAATATAATTGTTTCTCTTATATCATATGACTAGTACTGTATTTTATTTGCATTCATGGTATATTTAAGTTTATGTTAGAAATGATTCTCACTGAGCTCATAGCTCATTTGATACTATTCTACAATTTCAAGAAAAGGGAAGGGGCACAAAGAATAAGAGGCAGATAAACTGTTTTGTCCTAATATTTTGGATGCATAAATTTCAGATAGTGAAAAAGGTATGTATGATGATCATGCACATAAAAGACTTTGAGTATATGTAGTTGTTTTGTTAGTAGCTTTGTAATCAACTCCATAATTCTAGTAATATACGTTTGAAAATATTATATGAATATTAAATGCCAGGTATGTTTTAAGACGATAGAGCCAGACTAAATCATGAGTAAATCATGATGAGTTTGAAAAAATTTAGTCAATTCAAATTGTTCGATTATGTTACATTTCATTACTATCTAAAAAGTATAAAAATGGGGCGAGACACCAGCAATGGCAAGCAGTAACAAGGCGGGGTAGAACGGCGGGAGATGGTGAGTTGGCTAGGGTTGGTGCAAGCAACGACAAACTAGGGAGGAAGAGGAGGAGCAAGCAATGATGGCACCGACTTGGGTTTTGGGTCGCCAACGACAAGATGTGTCATCAGTGACAGTGTTGCAGGGTGGACATCAAGAGTAAGAGGGAGAGGTGCAAGGGAGAGAGCAAGAGGGGGAGTGCGAGAATGAGAGGGAGAGAGTGTGTGAGTGTAAGGAAGACACTAAGAGGTGTTCAAAATGAATGCCTCATCAAATTATCTTCATTTACGAATTTACACCATAATAGACAAGTCGAATATTAAGTGTTGAAGTCACTTGTGTTGATGATAAAATTCAAGTACAAAAATGAACCCTTCATTTTAAATCCTATTTTTAACAAAAATGGAATTAGAAATAAGGGGAAACTAATATGGACCACAAATGCATAATCGTCTTTTTAAGATGCAATCAAAGTCCTACATGTGGAATCAAAGTAGTCCCTGAGTGGTTAACCCAACCTGAGTAAGTGAACATAAAATTCAGAATCAATCATACAAAATTTAATCAGTAACATGAATTATGATTTGCTTAGCTAATAATTTCCAACTAAATAAACCACATTATTGCTCATCTTGGTGAAACCGGGATCAAAACTACAGGACCACAAACCTAACAACAATTTCATAGACATAAAAGAATCCATGCTCGGCTCGATCGGAGTACAATTTTCCCTTGATAAGAAAAAAGGATTGAGTTGATTGGATGCAAATGAGACCATGACCCTAATGATCAAATGCTTTTCAAAATCTGATCATTTATGATTTCTCTCTCTTCAAACTATTTCATTCTGTTGATATATATTTTAACTTTGAGATTGATAAATGATGTTCACAATTTTGCATTCGCACACCAAGAAAAATAGCTTATCGTTTATGCTAATAATCCTAGCACATATAATATAATCATTTTGCATTATATTATCCCTAATTTTATCGAACGTTCATCTGAGATTTCTCAATTAAAAATCTATCATATAAAAGTACTTCATTTTGAAGTAACTAAGCAGGTAAGGAATAGCAACCAAGTTTCATATAATTTTTTACTTTACCGCTATCACTACTATTGATGTTAGCCCCTCAGGGAAAAAAAACAGATTCTAAGATCATCTGAGGTCTCATTCAGCTTGCTACTTTTCAACATCAAAAGCTAGATCAAACAAAGGTAATGTTAGGAAGGGTAAAAAAGATGGAGAAAACTTGGTAATTGAAAAATCATAAAACGAAATCTCATCATATAGACATGATCAATAACACCCGCTTTTGTATTTAGCTATATTCAGATTCTTTTGGTCCCTATAACATAAACAAATGAAACAACGAATCCGCAATAAAACCTTCGTAAAATGAAAAGAACTTCAACTTCTAAAGGAAAATATGTGCAAGCATGCTAATACTGTTCTATTTTAGAAAAATAAGTTTTGTTGACTGGTACAGAGAGTTGAAGATGAAGAGCAAGAGCGTTGAAAGTTTACTGAAAATGGTTTAACAGATATTGCAGACAACTGCAGATGATATTTATAGGAGTGGCACGTACTTCTAGCATGAGGATTAGATCGACATATCCTTCAAATTTTATTATTGCTTCATGCATGTGACATCAATAACAAAGGAAAATTGAGGCCTAAGATTCTAACATCACACCCAATAGATCTTTGCAGGTTTGAGAATGAATTTTTTATTTATAATCTACCTCAACTGGAGTTGCCACCACCAAAATATACTGAATTGCTTCAATAAATATACCAGGCTTCACCCTGGCAAGACCAGCAGCACAAATCGATTGTTCCTCTCCACTGTATTCTGTACACTGTCCATCCCTAGACACAAAGAGAGCAATTTTGAGTATGATAGGCAACATATTATTCAAAAGGATAACCAAATGTGCAAATTAGTTAAAAACTTATTCTGCACAACGTTTAACATGTGAAAACCAGCAGTTAAACTGATGGGGACATCAAAGCTTGGAGGGTTTATCACCATAGAGGCAAGAGATCTACGGCCTTGATTGAGTCTTTATATTTTTAGTTTTCATATGTTGTAAGAGATTTATGTGGTGTTATTTATTTTATTACAATTTTACCCTAACTTGAGGGATCTTTTGTGTTGTTTGGCCAAGGGCCTTCTTATCTTTTGTCCTTTCATGTTTTTTGTGTCTATATATATTGCCCATTGTTCTCTTGTATGGATGATGAAATTTTTGATATAAATTTTTGGTTATATGTTTTCTCTTCTCTTAGTGAGTTGAGTTTGTGTGTGAAGTCCTTTGGAGAAAGGCAAAGAAATACCCAACTGCGTGTGAGCAATTGGTTGGTATCATCTTCCCTCTCTAACTCTTTTTTTTCTCCTTCCTAGCCGCCCAAACAGCCCCCCAGGTGCGGCAAACTGCTGCCCTCAACCAGCAACCACCTCCCTCCCTTCCTCTCATCCGCCTCCACCTTCTCTCCAACACCCATAACCCTTATGGAGATCCACAATCATTTTAACTTTTTTCCTTTCTCAAGCTGACTTTTCCATTTCCCAAGCCAACTAAATCCCTTCCCAAGCAAACCACATCATCCCTTTCTCTTCCCCAAGTAGCCAGCCCCACCTCTTCACTTCCCAAGCTGAATTCTCCATTTCCAAGCCATTAAAATCAGCCAAATCATCTATCCCCTCCTCCTCCCCATGCAATCGGCCTAGTTCACCCTTCCAAACCCCAAAACCGTGAGTTCTCCACTTCCAAATTCTCATATAGCTGAAACTTTCTTTTCCCTCCTCAATATTCACCGTTCCAAGGAAACTTAGCTTCTACTAATGCAACAAGGACATTGATTCAACAAAGAGCAAGGGTTTCAAACGCAAACCAAGGAGGAACTAGCCGTCTGATGTAGAACGGAGAGGGGGGTGTAATAAAAAATTTAAAGATCTAATATTCCATCATCAATTCCCCTTAATTAATGAATTTGAATTTGAAATTCAAACAAGAAAGACGCGAGGGAAGTGGGGAATTAATTATCTCATTAATTGGGACCTTTAATTAGGAAGGAAATCATTATGATAGAGGGGAGAGGGGGACTGGCCAATGAGGGAGGGAAGAGGGGAGTCCATATTCGATGCATATGGACCCTTGCATTGAATGTGATTGGAAAAAATTAAATCTAAATTTAAAATTCAGAATTGGAGAGATTGGGGGGATTTCCTAAAATAGGTTAACTAATCCGGAAAGATTTTGAAATTCAAATTTATTTGAATTCAAAATAAAAGATTTTCCAAATTAATCATTGGCTAGATTAGGAAAATAATTATGAAACAATTTGAATTTGGAAATCAATGGGTTGTGGAGGAGAGGCCGGCAGCATGGTGGAGTGGACTAGGGCTTAGGGAAAGGGATTTAGATATTGCCTTATTTAGGATCTTAATTTAGGAAGAAATAATTTAAATCAAATCCAATTAGAAATTTAATTGGATCTAATTTAAATAACTTTCTTAAAATGGAGAACCTAATTTAGGAAACAAATTCAAATTCAAATGAGTATGAATTTAAATAGCTTCCAAAATTAAAGGGAGCTAAATTAGGAAGGGGTTTAATTGGGAGCAATAGTGGTGAAGAATTAATGGGAGGAGAGAGGTAGGGCCGGCGGCTATAGGAGGGAGGGGGAGAGTTAGGGAAGATTTCAAATGATTTCCTAAATAAGAATAATAAAATTAAAGGAGATTTATTACTCATATCTCTTTCAATTTAAATTCAAAAATAAATTAACTTGATTTAGAAACTTTCCAAATATAATTCATGTTAAATTAGGAAATAATTCAAAATTGAAATTGATTCAAAATTGAATTGATTGTCTTCCCAAATTTACCATGATTAATTTTAGCAAAGTAATGAAGGCTATGAAAATTTGGATCTAAGGGAAGGGGGTGGTGTGACCGGCGGTTTGGAGGTTTGTGCTAGGGTTAGGTGGCGGTGGGGTCAAGGTTAAGCTAGCCGGCAGTTGGGGTAGGGGTGTGGGGAGGAGAAACAAAACCTTGTAGTGGAGAGGGGATTGGAGCCGACGGTAGAGATAAGGAGAAGGTGGTGGCCGAGAGTTGGAATAAGGGGAGAAAAGAGAGAGGAAAGGAGATAGGGAAAGAAGATAAATCGTGAGCCCAGACACATCAAGCTGCTGACGGGTGATGCGATGTCCTCGCCTAGGGACTTCAACCACAAGCCCGGACACATCCTGCGGCTAGTGGGTATTTCATTGTCCTCACATAGAGACTTCCACTCTCCTAAGAACTCCCATCACTCTTAAGAACAAAGTGTAAAAATAATTTTTTTATTAATCCATCATTGTCTAATACAAGAGCAAAGGCCTCTATATATAGGCCTTAAAAGAAACTAAAAGATAATTTTGCTCATTGGGCTTACATAAGACAAGACCCTTAAGTAAGGGTAAAAACGAAAAATACATAATTAAATCAAAATTATAATTAATAAACTAAGATAAAAATGGAGGGATCTAGGCCGTCGATCTTCGTCTGTTCCTTTGATTAACGTCCACAATCGGATTTCCGCATCACCGTCACTTCATCAATGACTTCATTCCTCTCATTCATGAGCTAAGTATCAAACCCTCACTTTGTCTTCATCTAACTAAATATTGGTTTTCTCATTTCTTCTATAGTAGCATCATCTCATATGTGTTGATTAATTCGTCAAGTTCTACTTAAATTAGAGCGAACAAAAACTCTAGTAACTAGTCCCTTAATTAAATGTTGGACTTGTGCCAACTCATGTAAGCTAGTCTAAATTGATTCACCTTTGTTATTGTTTAGCCTTTGCATGTTAGTTTCTTACTATCACATGATCTAATAGTTCAAATTTTCTTATTGTTTTTAATGTTTTATGAAGTTTATGTTGTTGTCTTTGATGTTCTCTTAGCTTAAATATCTATTTGCATGACTTATTATCTTAGTCCTGTATCATAAACAACATAGTTGATATTAACTAAAAGTGGAAGTACATCCTAAAGTACCAGAAATAAAGGAACTACTTCAATGGGAATATCTCATATATTAAATAATAATAAAACATTCAATACCATCTATATTGATATTTTAATTCAAAATAGGATATGAATTATGGCACAAATCAAACGGAATATAGAAGTGTCAATCAAGCTTCTGTTGATTTAAATATTACAAATCTTAACTCAACCATTTTCAATTTTACACAATCCAACGAAGGTAATGTATAAAAACACAAGTAGATTATATCAATATTACATTTCCTTTTTGTTATTTTAGATATTCCAACTAATTGCAAATAAAGCATCACACTAAAAAGTTGTGATTAAAGGCATAAAGACTATCATTAATCCATAATACAGCACATGCAATAATTAAATATCAAAAAGTAGCCATAAATTATGATGTTGTAGAGTCAAATAAATGCATGGCAATGATGTACAGTACACTTTGGAAAAAAAAATTATAATTATAACACAATACAGGACATACCTTGGGGTATTTTAAGTTTTAAATCTTCTTAAACAGATATTTTATCAAAATGTATGAACAAGATTCCACATCTACTGTGGCTTTGATTTTGTTTGATGATGATGTAGGAGATCTATATTGAGTTTCGGTAAAATAGGTAAAAGCATATATTTACTTTCCTCTCAAACGGGTAAAAATAGGTAAAGGCATGTGTTTACTTTTCTCTTAAAGAGATTTAATTTAGAGTACATGCATTTTTACTATCATTACTGAAAGATCGAGTCATAACTAGGTGTGATCAATTTTAAGTGCTTAGAACCTCTTATAAAAAATTAGGACATGGATGAGAATATAGCATCTAAGTGATATGTTGCATGATATCTAGTTCCAATCACCAAATATTAAACACGAGTCTTCTTTTATGTTAGTTTAGTGAATATTATTTAAGGTGTTATGTTATTATTTGATACAAGTAAAATAATTATTTGATGAAATGGATATGGATGTCATTTTAAAATTGTTATTAGGCCATAGGATGTAGTTGAATTTGATTGGCTTTCTTCTAGCATTCTCTTTAGAGATAAATTCCTTCCTTTTTCATAGCTTGATGTCCTCCATCACTCACTCCCTCCATTATATATGCATCGCATCTATTTCAACCATAACAAATAAATCAAGATTTATAGTTTTCACTCCCACACAACATCTTAAAGTTAGGATCAAACCAAATCTAGCATGGATAAAAGTTCTATGGAAAAACTTACACAAAAAATAAATTTAACATGAAATAATCAACATGATTGGAGAATGAAGACTCCAAACAAATCCCAAAAATATTTGGGAAAAAGGCAAAGGATGATTATAATGTATTGATAGCCATAATTTCCTTGTGTTAAACTTAGATGCTCACTACCATTGCTATTTTCACCATAAAAAACGTGCATTGTTTTACTTGGTAGGTGCTGCCTTATTTATCTGTCAATATTTTGATTGATTTGGGTTTGATGTAGCTCATCATGCATGCATGATTAACTTAACATGGGATAATTTTTAGATTTTTATTGAAGAATGTTTTGCACTATCATAAGTCAAAATATATATTAGATTGTTAAAATTGGTTCAAATGCCCCATCTTGAAGCTAAAAAGTGTACATCCCATCACACAATAAACTTTGAAAACAATTATAAAGCATTATTGGAAAGTCCAAGTTTAAATATCAATTTAAGACATCTATCCAAAGGTTCTATTAAGAGAAAGCTATCAATGTATGAGATCATAAAACATGAGCAATCAATGCAAGTACTTGGTATCTCACACTCCTGATTTCCATCTTTTTTGATAAAATGCTACTCTAAGCTTCTTATATCACTCTCATCTCTTAATTGGCACTCCATGGCTTCCTACCAATGGCACCAACTAACCATATGTTATCCTCCTCTCCATCCCCCTTCTCTCTTCTCTTCATTATCTGCTTTTTGGCATTCCATCACTGACCTTCCCACTCTCTTCCTCTATCCATCTATTTATTTTTAGCAATTCTTGCTTCTCATTTCATACTTTCCAAACCCACCACCCTATGTGATACCTATTACACTACACTCCAACTCTCCTACATCCCTGAACTCCTCTCCTATTTCTGCTATTTTGAAAGTAACCTGCTCCTGTTTCAATCCAACAGCTTACTAATCCTTGCAAACTTCCTCATGCTTTTCACACCAATCTGAGATTATTCTTGCTATTTCATTAGCCCTCCTCAACTTCTTCTATTTTTCTGCCTCAAATATTTTTGAAGTTATTATATTTTGAAATAGCTAAATAATTTTGCAATCTATTATCTAAAAAGCATGACAATGTCAATAAATCACAAGCATATTTATCAAAACATAAGCCATTTTATGAGCACATCATAGCCATGTTAGATGTGCCGCATTGCAAATGCTTTCTCATGTTGGTGATGAAGATGGCTGACCAAACAAAATTTGGAGAGCTGTGTGAAGACAGTTGCTCCAGTGATATATATAATAAGGACTTTGGTAGCTAGACTAAGATATCCTGAATTAAAGTGAAACAAAATTTAGAAGAACAAGAAAAATAATGAAAAGCATTCTCCTTTGAATTATTCTCACCGTTTATCAAAGCGCCAAAGAAATAAGGAATTATCAACTGAAGCCCAGGCTCGGCGTATCTCTGGAAAAATTCCGCACAAAGCTGTTCCTTCACCGCCAGATGCATTGTACCTTTCAATCAGCACAGCGGGCAACTCCCTGGTATCCAATACTTCAGCGACAGGAGGCCACTGAGGAAAGAACATTCATGGAGGCAATGACACATCCATGATAGAAAGATTGTTCAAAAGTTAAGAAGCAGCTAATCAAATACATCATTATTATAGAAGCAAGAGCAAGTGAGTTCTTCCATCACATTATGCATAAAACATTACGTTAGCTGCTATTTAAAAAATGCAACCAATCCATCGAAATACAGGTATTACTTCGATTATTTCGATGCCCAAATAGAAACCAAGCATCAGGCTACCCACCGCCCTCCCAATCTTCCTACTATTTCTCAATAAAGGCTTGCACTGTCAAACTTCCAACTTCTATTTTACGGAGTCCGCGAAGAATATTTGGTTTGGAGAATGAGCGAGCATTAGCGTACAACCCGACAAGGTCAACAAACTAATGAATACATGTGTTTCATATATCAACTCATAGCCTACAAAAGCGGGTATTAATACATGAACCCCAGCCGACCACAAAAGCGTTATAAACGAGCACTTTGGCTATTAATTCATCCCAAATAATAAAAAAATCGCAACTTTTTTCATCCGAACTTTAATTTCTCCAAACTTGAGTAACAAAAGCGGCAACTTCATGGTTTCTAGTCTTCTTGGATCTCAAAATCCAGGGATCCACGCCAAAATGGGAAACAAGAAGAGAAAGGTACCTCTTTAGGCTGGGAAGAGTAAGGGTGACTGGTATACCGAGAAGCCTCCAGTGCCTCCTCCAGGTCTAGCTGACTGGCGGCATCCCGACCGATACACTCGCTAATGTGAAGCCCAGCCGAAGCAACGTCGGTTCCAATGATCTCGTCCTCCCACGTCATCTTCCGAAGACAAATAATAATAATCTGGACACAAAGATTGAGGAGGAAATTGAAGCCCTGGTAGTCCGGATCTCCAAGAACAAAAGTTCCGATGTAGCTGGATAGCTAGGGTTCGGTTGCCCTTCGAGAAGGTTGCGGAGGGCTGCTTTGCAGGGGAGGTGACGCGCGAGAATTGGACGGAGGGGATATGAGTGCTTCAATCTGAGCGTGGAGGGTTTAGCCTGGGTTTTGAAAAACACTCGAGAAGATTTGTTACCAGAAAGCGATCTTCGTCGCTCTGTAATCCTTTGTTGCTCAATTTCTGCGCGGTGATTTGGAAACAATCCCTTGATAAAGCTAGTCAAAGAAGAGTCTTCGCAATTTTTGTTTCGCGCTCGAAATCTGTGCGCTTCTATAACGCCGCGTTTTTTAGTTTTTGCCTTCGTTTATGAAGTTTTTATTGCCGCTTCATAAATTACTTTTTTAGGATAAAAATTTTAATTTATGTATTAAATATTCGTTTTAAAAAACAAAAAAAAATATCATCTCAAAAGAAGTCTTTATTTTTTCATGTATACAATTAATATGTTAGAACATTATTGTGTTGTGAGCTCTTAAGGGTGATTACTTGTATTTAAAAAGTTAAGTGTAATATAAATATACTTTTTTAATTAGAAATTTATTGTTGATTACAAAATAAATTGAAATGTTTATTTAATTATCTATAAAAATAATTTGGAATTCGGTTATAATTAGAGCAATGCAACATAGGAACGTCGATTTATTGATGATTCTCATAAAATGTGGTATGGGAACGTCGATTAGGGTTAGAGTAATACAACATAGGTGCATAGTTATTGCACGTAGGTTAAGTTCATTGCATTGTGAAACAGAGTGTGTAGGCTTTAATGATGTTAGATTCTGAGACTGTGTAGGCTTTGGGGATGGTGTTGGCTTCAAAAACCATGTTCCATTAATAATTCACCAAATTTGGAAATTTTGAAAGAATTTGGAATTCCTCAATTTTTATTTTTTTTTACATTACAATTTACTTATGAAAGAATTTTTCATTTGTTTTACTTCACACCAAACACCTAAAAAATCAAAGCCATATATTACTTTTACTTTACACCCCCAATGCACCAAACAAAATAGACTCTAAAAGCAATTTAGAGTGTTGTGTTAGTCTTCTTGTGGTGTATCATAAAGGAGTTTGCAAGTACTTTTTAAGACAGTTTTGAGTTCTATTGATGTAAATATTATTTATTCACATATATCTATTAAATTTCTAAAGATTATTGGACTATTATTTGTTTATTGATCATATCGATTCATATTGTTCATTGATTCATGTAAATTCATATAAACCTCGACATGTTGTATTGATTGAGATGAAGTATACATATTGATTATAATTCTTTTACATTGAATGCAATGATAGATTCCAGGTAACTTGCTCGATTTTTGTGGCTCATTATGTTGCTTTAATGATTCATGTTATGGAAGAGATCGTGGCCATATAAAGTAAGGCTGATCATGATCTTCATGGTTAGTTTTGTTTGCTTTTATGTTTATATTTTATTCTTTTATAGTTAGAAGTGTTAAAAAGAAAGACCGGTGTATTGTTCAATTAACTAAACTTTTAACAATTGTAAATGGATTTTGCAATGAATGATAAGTATAATGGAATATTTTGATGCATAAAGTTGCTTTTTGTGGCTTTCATATATATATATATATATATTGTTTGTTTATCATATAATCATTACATGGAAGGTAAACACAAACCTAAGAAATCCAAAGATTTCTCATAGAGCCATCACTTTGGGGGCCCCGTCGACCCCGGTTAGCAAAAAACCAATAAAGTTATACTAACATATACATAACCATATAGTGCAAGTGACGTTACAAAAAATTAATCTGTGTATATATAATTCAACATGACAATTATAATTTATATAACCAAAATGATTTACAACATGAGAATCATATAGTGCATTGAAGAAAACTAATGTATATAAAAGTAACCTTTTAGAGCAAAAACAATTTTAAATGCTAAAAGCTTGTGCGTCAACAAATCAAAACGATATTATTTCTATTACAAGATGATTTCAATATGAGCCATAAATAAGCTTGTTGACATAACACAATACTAGTTAATATTGGAAATAGAATTGGCAACATCATACTCAAAAACCTATCACAAATAACAAAGATATAGAGCCCCTAACAAAGAAGGGTGCACTTATCCCAAACTAAATAACAATTACTTACTTTTAAGAGAGCGATACGAAATTCCAAACCTATCAGATATTGAATTGACAAGGCTACGAATACAATAACTCCAAAAGCCCTATAAGAAGAATCCTAATTTAATATATAAACTAATAGAAAAAAAAAGACTCAAATACATGAAGTCTCCCACACAACGAACAGAATAATACTATATAGGTATTGTAATCACATATTCAACTCTGATCGACAGGGAAGGATGGAGGAGAAAGACCCAATCTCGATCCAAGAGAAAGAAGGGAGACTACACCTTGCTTGAAAGGTAGAAGATGGAGGGATATTCTTTGTCAGCAATGGTATCTATTTTTAGGGAATAAATGAGAAGGAGGAATATGGAAGAGGTTCGGCGGTTGAGAATGGGAGGAGGGCTTTCGGTGGAGGGGGGGGGCTTTTGGTGGTTTAAAAAAAAAAAAAAAAAAAAAAAACACATCAAAACTATATACAAAGTTATAGACCATTCTCACTCTACTAGGTCGTAAGCCAACTTGTGAGCCTGTTCGAGCTCAACTCGATAACAAGTTCACAAGCCTAGTTTATCAAGTTTTGAGCTCGAGCTTGGGTAAATTATGAGCTCATTGGATTATCGATCTCAAGTTCAATTGAGCCATTGCGAGCTTGCATCTATTGCCACAACCAGAGCTCGAGCACACCATTGAGCTTAGCTCAACTTGTTTACATCCCTAATCTTGTCCCTTTTCTAAAAAATGTAAAATCATATAATAAAACAATAGCTCAATATGTTATCTTAACCTACAACCACAATTAGTAGAACATAAATAATATGCAAGTAATCATTAATTCAAATCAATTTAAACATGTAATGGTACAAATATTTAACCATCAATATGAAAGGGGTATTGAAAATTTTACATTGTACATCTTAAAATAAAATTTAAATTATTAGATACATTATAACGGAAAGTTAGCAATATGTATTTACCCATTTTATTTAAAAAAAGGGAGATTTACATACATACCACCTTATACTATTCTATTTACATATTTAACACTTAAAATTTTAATATTACATAAATACCACCCATAGTTTATTTTCATATCAAATATGAGTGGTATAAATGAAATATATGAGTGGTAGGAAAGAAATATTAGTGGTATATTTGATATTAAAATAATATACGATGGTATGTATGTATTATTAAAATTTTAAATATTAGATATATAAATAAGATGTTATAAAGTGGCATGTATGTAAATTTCCCTTAAAAAAATTAAAATACATTATACATCGATAAAATTAAAATTTCAATATACAATGAGGTAATGCCACAGGTCCTGCTGCGGCTAAGGCTCGGTTGGAGAAAGTTCCGATGGATTAGAACGATCCCGGTAGAACTTCGCCGGCGCTGAAGGTGGTACGAAAGACTTTCTCGGTCGTAGGCATCCCATATGAGTTTGCCGCGCAACCTAGTTAATATTGGAAATAGAATTGTCAACATCATACTCAAAAACCTATCACAAATAACAAAGATATAGAGCCCATAACAAAGAAGGGTGCACTTATCCCAAACTAAATAACAATTATGTACTTTTAAGAGAGCAATACGAAATTCCAAGCCTATCAGATATTGAATTGACAAGGCCACGAATACAACAACTCCAAAAGCCCTATAAGAAGAATCCTAATTTAATATATAAACTAATAGAAAAAAATACTCAAATACATGAAGTCTCCCACACAACTAAGAGAATAATACTATATAGGTATTGTTAATCAATATCTAACACAACAATTCCAATTAAACATCCAAACAACATAAAAAAATGATAACAATAATCACATATTCAACTTTGATCGACAGGGAAGAATGGAGGAGAAAGATGCACTCTCGATCCAAGGGAAAGAAGGGAGACTACATCTTGCTTGAAAGGTAGAAGATGGAGGGATATTCTTTGCCAGCAATGGTCTCTATTTTTAGGGAAGAAATGAGGTGGAATATGGAAGAGGTTCGGCAGCTGAGAAAGGGAGGAGGGCTTTTGGCGGTTGCTACCAAAATTAAAAAAAAAACACATCAAAACTAAATACAAAGTTATAGTCCATTCTCACTCTACTAGGTCATAAGCCAACTTGTGAGCCTGTTCTAGCTCGCCTCGATAACAAGTTCACAAGCCTAATTTATCAAGTTTCGAGCTCGAGCTTGGGTAGATTGTGAGCTCATTGGATTACCGATCTCAAGTTCAATTGAGTCATTGCGAGCTTGCATCTATTACCACAACCAAAGCTCGAGCACACCATTGAGCTTAGCTCAACTTGTTTACATCCCTAATCTTGGCCCTTTTCTAAAATATGTAAAACCACATAATAAACTAATAGCTCAATATATTATCTTAAACTACAACCACAATTAGTAGAACATAAATAATATGCATGTAATCATTAATTCAAATCAATTTAAACATGTAATGGTACAAATATTTAACCATCAATATGAAAAGGTTATTGAAAATTTTATATTGTACATCTTAAAATAAATTTTAAATTATTAGATACATTATAACGGAAAGTTAGCAAAAAGTATTTACCCATTTTATTTTAAAAAAATTAAAATACATTATACATCGATAAAATTAAAATTTCAATATACAATGAGGTAATGCCACAGGTCCTGCTGCGGCTAAAGGCTTGGTTGGAGAAAGGTCCGATGGATTAGAAAGATCGCGGTAGAACTTCGCCGGCGCTGAAGGTGGTACGAAAGACTTTCTCGGTCGTAGGCATCCCATATGCGTTTGTCGCGCAACGTCGGAGGTTGTACAGCGCTCCAAAGTTTATGCCATCACATCTCATGGAAGCCGGTAATCCAAATATTCATAACTTTTTTCTCGTGGCTATTATCTCCTACGATACAGTGATTGATAAGCCGTCCATCTGTTTGCAGACAGGTAAGCGGCAGCAAACCCTAGCAGCCGAGGTGTGCCTATCGGGAATCGGCCTCCACTCCGGCGCCGCAACGACGGCCCGGCTGTTTCCTGCCATGGCCGGCGAGGGGAGATACTTCGTGGCTTTTGGACTATTGAGAATCCCTGCAACAATAGAATATGCGGTGAACTCGTCGCTCTGCACTACGCTGTGCCGCGGTGGGGTGAGGGTGCGGACGGTCGAGCACCTGCTTTCGGCTTTAGAGGCCTGTGGGGTGGATAACTGCAGGATTGAGATTGAAGGGGGCGAGGAGGTAACGCATGGTTAATGTTGATTATTCTTAGAGAGTTGCTATTTGTCTTTGTTGATTGGAAGGTTATTAGAGTTGTTGAAGAATGAGGCTAAAAACTGTTGCGAGGAGTTAAAATATTGCTGACGAGCGAGGAGGGATTACTTTTGACAAGGTAGGTTGAGAAAGGGTTGTCGATGGTTGAACATAGAGGACGAGGAAGAGTTAGGCCGATGGTTTGGTTTGAGAAATGAGGTGGCAATGGGGTAGGTTGGTGTTGACGTGTGGCCGGTGGTAAGTTTAGCATGTAAGGGAGATACACCAGTGGTATCGAAGGCGTGGATGTTTGGTTCTAAGTCTTAGGGTTATCATAAAAAACATTTTACTCATTGCATGTAGCTGGTTCATTGATTCCCATTATGATTTCCTTGTTTCTTAGCAGTTGAGGGGTTAGCGGAAGAGGAGAGGTGGTTGATCAAGAGGCAGTGAAGCTGAGGAGCATCATGTGATAAAGTTGAGAGGCCTGTGAAGTTGGAGAAATTATTGTGTGCGGAATCCGAATGCATTCGGATTCCATTCAGTGCATGCCACTTCATCAGATGCACTGGCACTTCATCAGATACACTCCGGGGCCCAGTGCATCCGATGACGTAGCGCATCCGGATTCATCTCCGAATGCATTCGGATTCTGCACACAATAATTTCTCGTGAAGTTGAGGCATTTAAGTCAAGAATTGCATGAGGGTTGGGCATAATGGTGGTATTGGATACGATATAGCCGAATTTCGAGGATGTGAGCGATAAGCCGATAATGATATAGATTTTTGACAAAAATATATTATTATTTTTTTTAAATTTTTTATTAAGATTTAATTAGATAAATACAAAAAGAAACAACTGGTATGCTTGTTGACTTGCAAGATTTTTTTTGATAACTCATACACCTTGAATTATATGTCATCATTTTGCTTGAGGTAAATTTTGCATTTCGATTTCGTGCAATTGGTAGGTCAATATGAGCCTCTTCCCTAGATAATTTTGATCTTCCAGTTGTGTTAGCACACTCTGTTTTGCGAATGGGCAACATTTGAGTGATTTCGATTGTGTTTGAGGCGTTTCAAACTTGATTTGTGCGATATCGTGTATGTTGTCCATCATTTTCCCCATTCCCTGATCAAATTGAGCGTGCATAGTCCTTGATAAATTCATTGCTTCAAATGCATTGTCACAATCTTTTCGCGAATTAGGCAATGATCGATGATTTGGATAGCGATCATGAAATTTTGAATTGATTTGTGTGGTATGACAACCGTTAATTGTGGAGGTTAACTAGACTTTAATGTGTTTGATTTGGATTGATTTCAAAAACCTATTATCATTGTTGTGAAATTTTTTTCATCATCTTGCTTATTCACATTCAACAACTCCTTAGAAAAAGATTGCTAATCTTATTCTAGAAGCTATCTTTAATGTGGGAATTGCCATCCACCACTATTTGTGAATATCACATATTTTTGCACCTTGGGATGATAAACTTATTTATGATCGTTCATGAATTGTCCTATAGGAAGCACCATAATTTTGCCCATACTTGGTTTATAGTTATTAAATGCTCAATTCGTCGAAGGTTAAAATTTTTTAGGTAGATTGATGCTGAATTACTTAATGTTTTCATACAACTGCTGAATTGTTGTGACAGGGAACTACTAGATTTGCTGCCTCCTAACTACAATGATAATACCGCTACATTATAGGTTATGATTGTAGTAGGCGCACATGCGGGCTTCTTTTGTGGTTCCTACTATTGTAGCTTTGTTCGACTGCTTCCATTTTCAATCTTTCATTTATGGGTAATGTAGTTGTGTTTAGTGGCTTCCATATCCAATCTTTCCTTCCGCAGACTCATGGCTAGGCTTGGTGGCTTTCATATATTGATCTCTCCTATTTGGTTGTTGTGCTTGCCTATTTAATCCTTTCTCGACATTTTGCTATAGCATGAAACACAAGACTTGCAGGCACAATAAGTTTAAGTTGGAATTTTTTTTTGGGCTGATGCTAAGATTGAAAACTTATTATTCATTTTGGATTCATGCCGGGTAGGTCTACTATGGAAGCCATACATTTATTGAGAGGTTGGGTGGAGAAATATAGAGAGAATAAGGAGGATCTGCATATGATATTTATTGATTTAGAGAAAGCATATGATAAAGTTCCAAGAGAAGTGCTATGGAGAGTTCTTGAAAAGAAATGAGATAATAATGCTTATATTCAAATTATTAAAGATATATATGCAGGTGCTGCTACTTGTGTTCAAACACAACTTGGTTTGACCAAGTATTTTCCTATTTCGATTGGATTACATCAAGGATCAGCCTTAAGTCCATATATTTTTGCTTTAGTCATTGATGTTCTCACTAGACATTTGCAAGAGGATGTACCTTGGTGTATGCTTTTTGCTGATGATATTATTAGTCTTGATAAGACTAGAGAGGAAGTTGAAGATAAACTTGAATTATGGAAGTCAACTTTAGAGGCTAAAGGTTTTTGCTTGAGTAAATCTAAAAGTGAATATATGAAGTGTAATTTTAGTAGTAATAGACCTACTGAAGGGATTGTGACTTTGGGCGATCAAGTCATTAATAAGAGTACATATTTTAGATATCTTGGATGTATTGTTCAGAGTGATGGTAAAATACATGGGGATATTATCCGCAGAATTCAAGCTGGATGGTTGAAGTGGAGGAATGCATCGGGCTTGGGGGGGGGAGTGGCCGGCGGCGGGCTTCCAAAGGGGCGGCGGCGGCAACTAGGGTTGGGAAGGGATTTCTTGTGGTGGAGGAGAAGGAAGATGGAGGTGAATACGAAGGAAAAGATAGAAAACCTAACCACGAGCCGCGGACTCTTCCAACGACTGGTGGGCCTTACGATTTGCTCCCCTTGAGCTCTCTCCCTTCTCAAGCCCTCATGCAAGAAGAAGAAGTAGAAACACAAATTTTTTTTCATTCAAATCTTCATTAACCCAAAATACATAACAACTAGCCTATAAATAGGCCTCATGAAAAGAAAAGAAATAAAAGACTAAAATGCCCTTCGGGCTACAATACTACATGACCACCCGTAAGGGTATAAAGGGAAAAACAATAATATGAAATAAACCAGTACATAAAAATAACTCAAGATCGTAGCCGTTGAACTTTGATGTCCTCATCAAGACGCTTGTAGGAACAAGAGTTTTTCTTGTTGAATTTGAATTTTAGCACTTGAAAAAATAAATTTGAGAAGAATTTGGAAGAAATAACCAGAATAAACTTTTTTTAATTGATAAAATATGAAAGACAACGAACAAGATACAATGGATCCTTAGTTGGAGAGGAGGATCCATCTCTCCTAATCTCTAGCCAGTAGCTAGAGCCCAAACAAGCTCTAGGAACTCTCCAAAATTCAGGAAAAATCATGATAACCCTAATTCTAAACAATCTCATTTATTTAAATCATACAAATACAACTCTGGTTTGCTAAACAGCCTCTCCCTTAATCAAAACTTGCATGATCCGCCCCCTCCTCTTTAGGTAATGGGCACCATAAGGGGGCCGGTGGCTGGTGGCTGCCTAGAGTAAAGCCAGCCCTAAGGCTGGTTCAGCCGGCCCTCCTAGGGCCGGTTCCGTTGGTGTAATAGAATTCTGCATGATTAAAACTTAGAATTACTTTTCCAAGTCATTTGAGTTGTCTTTTACCCTTTTCTTTTCAGTCTTGTGATTAAGTACTTGTCCTCAAACTTGTTCCTTAGTTGGCAGATGAAATACCTTGAATAACTCTGTAAAATGATTGTGGCTGCAGTTGATCGCTTTAACAGAACTATGGATGAATAGAGTATAAAGTAGGCTCTCCACAATGTAATTATGATCTAATGCACTACAAAATGAGACATAAATTTCATGCAATTTATTCACTTTTCTATTATGTTTCAGGGCACCGAACAATGTCTTACTGTGGTGTTTTTTTGGTTTGGTTTGTGTCCAGAGAATTGCCATCATCACCATTACTTTTCCAGAGTGAATTTTAGTCTTCTCGATTCATCTTTTATTTTTTTATAACCGTAGCGATGATTGTATGATTTTCTTTGAAAATATTAGGAAAAAGACAATTTTTAGTAGGTAATATATTGTTTCACTGAGAGAATCCTTTTAGTTTATTGACATAATAGAACTTAGTCATGTTCTTGGCGAGCATTTTCCTCAATGGCATAAGGTTAGTTTTTTCATGGCTTTCTAAGTTTAGAAAATGGACACTTCGGCCAAGTTTGAATGTTTTTTTTGTTTTTTTTTAGCTTATGGTTTTTTTTTTTCTTTATATTTAAAATATAAATATGATTACATGTCTATTTGTTTCATATTTTCATAATATACATCAAAAAAGAAAGTTTAGATACTTGTAGCATAATTGGGGAGAAGGGGGGGGGGGGGGGGATTTTGCGGCAACGTGAGGTAATTTATAGGAAGAGGAAGCCGTTGGAGGTGATATGTGATGATGTGAGGTTTGAGTTCTGTGACTTGAGGTGAAAAATAAGTGAAAGTTGATGAGGGCAATATTGGGCAAAAGTGCTCAAGCCGTCAATAATCGGAAGTAAGCTTTCTATGAGTGGTCCATTTTCGATGAGGGAAGCGGAATAACATGATATGTGACAATTATGATTAGGAGAGTCCTGTGGTGAGCATCGTGCTGCTTTTGAATTTGGAGATTAGGATCATGAGATTAAACAGAGGAATGGTTGTTTTGAAAATATGTGAAATGTGTCAAAGCATGATTTTACCATTTTTGGAGACATCTTATCTTCCAAAAATTAGAAAAACAAAAGCTACAAAACATGTTTTGGAAGCTAAGTGTGTGTTGTTGAGAATACAAAGCACAAAACATGAATTGGAAATGAAACAAAAATAACTTTAGATTTCCAAATCTTTCCAATCTTTTCATGAAACTTGATGCTACCAGGTAGAGGCAACACATTTCTAAGACTATATTTTCATGTCCTTTATGTAACACCCCACTATACCCCT